TTTCTCTTCACCGCACATAGAAATCGATATTTTATTATCCTTTGCAACTAATTATGACTTTCGTAGCATCATTCTAAATTATTACTGCCCGAAAGTTTATACTGATATCGAGCTTCACTCTGCATCCTATTACATAAGTTTGCTTGTATTTACCCGAGTGCACTGAAAATTTAAAAATAAATGGTTTACTTCAGAGGTCGATGTTCATTACATTCTTATTATCATGATCGAACCCATTCAATTAGTGCTCATTTCTTTTCCCTCTCTTTTTCTTCTAACTAAATATTATTACTAGGTAACTTAAGTTTGTAATTAGGACGATATCTTGTGCTACACTTAAACTAAATTCTCAGACTCGTTTTATATTCACTATGTATACATGATTCACATTTATTAATATTTGATTATCCTTTGCACATAATTGAAACCCTCATGTCATCACTCCAAACTATTGTCGCACAAACACTTATTCTGCCGTCTTATCTTATTACGATAATGTTATTTATTTGTTTTTAATCTCCTTTTCATTTTGCTATTTATTTGGCGATACATACATTATCGTTTATTCTTGTTCTGTGTTCACAAACATATTTAATAAACTGCTTAAGCATTTCGCACTTCCTTCATTTCTATTCCCTTATTTTTTCTTTTCATTCCTTAAGGTAAACTCAATATTCCTTTCAATCACACAAAACCTGATCTTTTACTTTTTATCTATTTCATTTTTTAAAATATGGCAAATATTATGCTAACATTAATAAAACTTATGTAATATTGCATTTCTAAAGAAAGCTTAAATGATTTCGTCACAACACTTATTTTCCCAGAAGTTGGTTGTGATTGATAATAATGTAATTCTGGGATAGAATGGTTTGTTTTGTGTAGTCATAAAGTTAACCATGCTACATGGATACAACGAGACGTTAGCCGACGTTAGGTACTATCTGTAAGGTGACTTTGGCGAAAGCTGGTTGGTTACGCCACTCTCTTGTAAGCCCATAACCATCGACACTGGTCGTCTACATTGATATGACTTAAATTTTACCTGACCAGCAAATGCCACAGGATATCATTGGATCGCCCTAGTAAAAATTTGCGAACCAGACACCAAGGTGGATATTTAAGCTAGACCGTTTGATATGGTATCTGAATATCTGGATGAAAAAACGTACTCCTTATATAATGAGATAGACGGATTTTTATCTGATAAAGAGTGTCCCCTCTAGCCGTATGAAGATGAAGAAGTTGAAAATCGTCTAAAATCAAGATAACATTAACAAGACTTGTACCCGGAATCCCAAATTTTTACTGGAGAGGCCTCGAAAGACATTAGTGTTGAAGTCACTTTGAGTGCAACTAGTTGACTAAATGACCTTCGATTTTTGCAAAATCCTCAAATATATGCGACAAACAGTTGGAGCTAGGTTTGCAGATAACCTCTGCCAAGTGGAATATATTTGTTGCAACAGAGACTTTATAAGTTTCGACCATAAATGATAAAAATTCGGCTTCAAAGTCTCTAACTTAGTAAAAGTTGGTAGAACGCAGGAGTGTAGAAATAAGTGATCTTCACTATTCACTACAAGTAGTTTACCTCATGCAGTTACTGAAAACATATTCATTGAAAGTAAAATACACAAATTAGTAAGTTGTCGATTAAAGTGCAAGAAGCAGAAGTGACTAATCGGATCTGTTTAACAAAGTATAAACTGTAAAGTGAATGATCTTAATAGATAAGCTTAACATGGAAAATTTTAGTGCTCGGTATTTGATCTTAGAGAAATTTAATGCATCTACGATACAGATTTACCAACTAAGTTGATAGAAGCAATTCATGAATAGCAAGTCCGGACAGAGAATCACATCTCAAGCATCTGGACATTGTTTTCGATCGACTCCAAAAGCATGGCATTACTGTCAACATTCAGAAATGCCAAATCGGAACTAACTGCTTAGACTTCTTAGGACACACTATTGATGCCCAAGGCATCCGACCCCTTAGGAGCAAAGTGGCGGCCATTCTGGATTACCCAAAACCGACCACGATCAAGCAGTTACGAACTTTCAACGGACCCGTAAGTTTCTATAGACGGTTCATACCCAAATGCGCATCCCTTATGAAACCGTAAACCGATCAGCTTCGTGGGAATGCGAAATCAATTAGTTTAGACGACATAGCCTGTGAAACATTCTCCACAGTTAAGGAACTCATTGCTAAAGCAACCCTGCTTGCTCATCAGGACACTCAAGCGCCCATTAGTATCGCAGTAGACGCATCCGACTCAGTAATCGGAGCAGTCTTACAACAATGGGTTAACAACTCGTGGCAACCTTTAAGATTTTTCTCGAGACGGTTGTTAGACGCGGAATCTAGGTACAGCACGTTCGGTAGAGAACTCCTAGCTATGTATTGTGCCGTACGGCATTTCAAACATTTAATCGAATGAAGAGAATTCACGCTTTTTACCGATCACAAACCTCTTACCTTCTCTTTAAATTCATCTTCAGACAAGTACTCACCGCGAGAGTCTTGACAACTCGACTACATTTCGCAGTTTACTTCAGACATACAACATATTTCTGGAGCAAACAATGTAGTCGTAGACGCCTTGTCTCGAATTAGCTCCTTGAACAGTTTCCAAGGAATCGACCTTCTTAAACTGGCTCAGCTTCAAAAAGAAGACATTGATCTTCAGAATGAGTTATCCTCGACAACTCTTAAACTAAGTATTAGGGAGATGGGAACAGGTAAGGAAACCTTATTATGTGACACATCTACAGGTAGGGATCGTCCAATTGTACCAAAACATTATCGCCGCAACGTCTTCAATACGTTGCACAATCTTTCTCATCCAGGTGCTCGTGCAACAATCGAACTTATAGCCGAACGCTTTTGTTGGCCTGGCATGAATAAAGACGTGAGGGAGTGGGCACGCTCCTGTGTAAGCTGTCAGAAATCTGAGGTCATAAGACATAACAAGTGTCCCTTAGGCTCTTTCAAAATCCTTGACGCTCGTTTCGACCACGTCCATCTAGATTTGGTAGGACCCTTACCCGACTCGAACGGATACTCATATCTCCTGACATGCGTAGACCGTTTCACTCGATGGCCAGAAGCAGTACCGATTAAGGACATTACTGCTGAAACCGTGGCCCGTGCTTTCGTCGAACGATGGGTAGCAAATTTCGGCTGCCCTTCCACAATCACTACAGACGGCGGACGCCAGTTCGAATCTGGACTTTTCCGTTGTCTAACCTCACTTTTAGGAATCACGCGCTTCCGAACGACCGCCTACAACCCACAAGCAAACGTGTTGGTAGAACGTTTTCATCGACAACTAAAAGCCTCATTATCAGCTTCAAACGTTTCACAGTGGACAGACGCTCTTCCACTCGTCTTGCTAGGTATCCGCAATGCAGTGAAAGCTGACATTGGATACAATGCATCTCAACTCGTTTACGGAACGACACTCCGACTCCCAGGAGAATTCGTGGATCCTTCAACTTCTTCATTGAACATGGATCTAAACTCTTACACGAGTAGGCTTACAAACGCTATGCGTTCAGTTAAACCTGCTCACACTCGACCTCAATCTACTGATGTTTTCGTTCAAACCGAATTACGACATAGTACACACGTCTTCGTTCGTCGAGACTCACATCGACGTCCCCTCGAATCAGCATACGAAGGATACTTCAAAGTTCTTCAACGCGAACCAAAGTACTATGTAGTCGATAAGAACGGTACGAAAGATAGCATCAGTATCGATCGACTCAAAGCTGCGTACCTAGAAGGAAACCCTATCTACGTCGATTTTCCTTCGGTACAAACAAACGGCACAGCTACTACACTCGTAGTACCCTACACGACAACCGACACACAACTTGATACTTCGTCAACGTCGATAGAAAAACCTAAAACAACGCGTTCTGGAAGACGAGTAAGATTTCCAGAACATCTTAACGAATATTGCACGTAGGACACAGGTTTTATCTTGAATTACCCTTTCATTGTTTATTATAAAAACTTTTTTTAATATGCTCATTTTTTATTTATAAAAAAAACATTATTATTTTTTTGAGAGTATTTATATTTTTTATATATAAAAAAAAATCAAAAAAAACTTTTTTTCTCCGACCGCTTTTGCGCTGTTTGCAAGTGTTTTAGTTTAATTTTTCCGGCTCACCTTGTGTCCTTACGCAAGTACGAGTGTATTTTCGACATACACTCACACGTTATTTTTTTTCCCTTTTCCAGCACGACTGGAAAAGAACGACGAAGTTTCCCAAGGAACCGGAATTTTTCATTGTACTATATTTCTTTATTGCTATGTTGTACATTTTGGTCCCATAGTTTAAGGAAAGACGACCAGACGCTGCTAAACGAAGCAAGCTATCAGAAGAGTGTTTACCAACGACAAACTCGTTGGGTTTAAACTTCTGGCTGGTCACGTCTTAGGGGCATCACTACCTCACTAGGGGGGAGTGATCTGTAGCTGTAAATAATTCCAAAAAATCAATAGCTCATTAAATGTTCGACATTGGATGCTGACCACGTTGTTTAAGTGGACTTGTTTAGCTGATGGCTTTCGGTCATGCATCCGCACCAGATTACGTTTCAACACGGCGTGGGACACAGCTCCTACGTTTCCATAGTCAGCTTAGTGAAAACTCCTCTCGATATATTGGTAACGAATCAAATATATCTTTCCTGCCTCATCTCGTCTGACTTCTGATTTATATCTGTCTGGGAACGAGCGAATATAGAAGGTGCTACTGGTATTCAGTTGTAAAACTAGAATATCCGTTGCATCCTTCAGGACTAACTGAGAAACCTTTATCTCCAGTACTAAGACAAAACATCCCATCTCCCTTTCCTGACGAACTGATATTAAAGATGAATGCAGATTCAATGAATAATGGTCAGACAAAGGGTACACTGTTTTGTTTCTGGAGAGTGCCATTGCAATGCTTTTGTTTTTTTGGCTGGATTGTTATTTATCTTATGACCTTGAGACTTGTTTCGCGTCCAAAAGTACATGGGTTTTTTGAGAATTCGTCCGCCCAAGCGTTACTTGTCCCTTCGGGATAGTTCTGTAATGACAACCAATTGAAATATCATAAACGATTTATAGACTTATTATGGATTAAGCGATGTAAAGAGATTAGAGCAAAAATGGTTACCTGTTATACGGAAGATTGATTTAGAAAATTCAAGTGTAAGTTAACGTTTGTCACTACTTCTAGATTCAGAACAAAGCTGTGGGTAAACAAAAGTCCTTCGTGTTGTCCATGTTCCCTTATCCATCTGGAAGTTTGCACATGGGACACTTAAGAGTTTATACTGTTTCAGACGTTTTAGCTCGCTATAAAACAATGTCTGGTGAGTTGACGATTTGTCCAATGGGTTGGGATTCATTCGGTCTGCCTGCGGAAAATGCCGCTATTGATCGAAACGAAAACCCATTGAATTGGACCCGAAAGTAAGCCAACATATTCAGAAGTTCATCCATAAATTATGTCTATTTGTGTCTCTTAAAAGTTTTGTATACTCTGTCTACATACATTTAGTCTGTTGTGTCAGTCCAAAAATATGCAGTTTATGTTTTGGCATCAAAATTCCAGGCGTTCAAACCTGGTTATATGGACTTGGTCGGTCCAAATTGCTGTCGATAATATATTGCATAATTAGCTTCATTGTTGGAATTTTTTAGTGTTAATTTTGGTTAGTTAACATGATCAAACCTTTTTGTCCGATTGCTTTCTTGAATGTATTTTTTCAATAACTAGTTGAAGCGCCTCAAGTTCTGATTTAATGACAAGGTCACACTTATTATAGCTAGTTTGATCGTTTAATTAGAAATTGGTGACCAACCAGTATACTGTAAATGTTTCTTACATAGAGGATTTTCAATGTACTTTAGCTAATTTTCACAATCTCACACTAGTTTGTTACTTCTGACAACTCTAAACTTAATGTCGACATTTTTGACTCGATGGTCGGAGATGATTATTTGAAGGCCCTTATAGTCTATCAATCTTGACCTATGAAACGACGTAACATATGTTCGTAATCGATGATACTGGTGAATTTACTTAGTTTTTTTTGTTTTTGTTAGTTGGCATTTGAACTATATTTCTAGTATATGAATTTTAAAACATTTGAATTAACTAATTCACCCGGGACAGGTGTTAGCCTTGTTCTAAGTGTGATGGCTAATGATACTACCCGGTTGCCTAAACCAAAGTAAGCGGACCGGAGTTCCAACATATTGCCTAGTGTCTGGGAGTCAGATGCCATTAGATCTGGAATCCTTATTGGTTTCATAAAGAAATGTGCCAAATTCGGTGTGCATGATGCTGTCACTGGATCTTTCGAAAACGATAATGATCAAACACAGAGAGTCGTCTAACATTCTCAGCTCAGAGAGGCCAGGTTTCACAAGCACAGAGCAAAACTGCTCTCACTGACGCGCTGTAGATCCGACCTTTCACAGCCAAATTAACATCACGAAAGTGTCAAAGATGTCCCCGATCGGCATAAGCCGTTTTGGCTTTCACTATTCGTGCATCGACCTCATCACTCCACCAACGGCACTTATGCAGTTACCCAGATACACGAACTTCTCAACTACTTCAATCTGCTCACCATCCAGGATGAGTACAGGATTAAAATCCTTCCAGTCTTGTAGGAGTACTATGCATTTCGAAGGTGCAGAGCACATACCATACCTGCGGACACTAATCGCCAACTGATTAAGTGCGAATTGCATGGCTTGGATATCATCGTACAGTAAGAAAATATCATCCGCATACTGAAAGTCGAAAGGTCTTTCATGAGGCTACAGGTCCACACCACCATTACCCATAACCATCAGGGCTGTTTTCCAGAACGCCGTCGATAGCAAAGTTGAAGAGGAATGATGAGATTGGGCAACACTGTTTAACCCCACTGCTTGAATTGAACAATGGACAGAGGTGGTTGTGTGCTTTTACTCTGCCTGACGTGTTTGTATATAGGGCTGTTAAGATGTTAATGAACTTCTCAGGCACACCCTTCTCCAATAGACAATCCCAGGGAACAGTCCTGTGTAACGAATCGTAGGCGGCCTTGATGTCAAGAAACACTACGAATGTTGGCTTGTGATAAGTATGACCGTGTTTTGACATTTGGCGGGGGTTGAAGATATGATCAGCACATCCTCGACCAGGACGGAAACCAGCCTGGTCCTCTCGTGTCAATCTTTCTTAGGTTTCGAACAATCTGTGAAGTATTACGGGAGCCATTCGTTTGGACGCCATTGAAAGTAGACTCATCTCCCAATAGTTGTTACAGAAACGACTTGAACCCTTTTTAAAGATAGGGACAACTATCGACTGATTCCATGATGTTGAAACGCTCTGTAGTTGTAAGACATTTGTGAAAAACTGTCTGTTCCCTAACCAGAAAGTCATCACTATCTATAAGAAAGGTCGGATGTAAGTATATGGGCCTGGTGATTTGTAGAGCTTCAAGAGCTAGAGTTCCTTTCAGGCTTATGCCTCGTTAGGTGGATCAGTCGTCACAGGCCATGGAGGGCAGGACAGTCTGATTGATGTTGTTGGGACAACAGATCAGTTGAACTGTTCCTCGAAAAACCCTCCCATCGTCTAAGTCGTCGATAGATGTTAGTGATTGGCATTCCGTCATCACAGATTGCTTCGCTCACACCAGACGTCTTACTATCAGTGACCTGGATGAGTTGGAAGAGCTTCTGGCATTTACCAGATGCAGCTGTTGCTTCCAACTCGTTGGAACGCTCCGACCACCAGGCTTCCCGATCCTTAAGCAAGCTTTGCACAATTTCATGACGTAAAAGTCGTCGTTTGTGGTCAAGCTCACGGTCGCTCGGAGTAGTTTGATGGGTTTAAGTGAGTTGTGAGAAGTCAGACGAAACCTAGTGCTTCTAAGTGAGACTTTTTGCGAAGCCGCAAGCGACTTTGCTCATCATTTTCATGGCGTCATGCGCTTGCAACCAAAGCTCAATTACACTTTTCTATGGGAGGTAGCTAGCCTTGAACCTAACTAAGTTTGACATTTAGTTGCAACAGAAACTGCAACCAATTTACTGACATCCATCCGTTTAGGATGATAAAATTGTTGGCCACTGAAAAGCAAGTTAAGGTTAGCGCAAACAAGGGCATGATCAGAATCCAGATAGGCACTCAAAAAGGAGCTGCAGTCTTGTTCACAACCACACCTGCGATAGCTGATTGCTATGTGATCAGTCTGAGTCCAGGCTTGAGATGCAGAGGGAGGACACCAGGTTCATAGAAGGAAAGGTATAAAGTTATTTTAATCTCACGGTTTAAGGAAAGACGAATATATGGTTAAAATTATGTTACGCAGTCAATTAGTCATTCAGTCATAACCAACACAGAATCTGGCATACATTTTCATCAATTTAAGTCACCATTTCATATCACAACAGCGAGAAAGTCAACATGATATTCCAAAACGGTTAGAATAACAGTATCAGCAGTAATGAAAAAGTTCAAGCATAGATAAAATGGTTCGAGAAAAAAGATTGAATCCATGGAATAAAAATGTACAAGATAATTTAAAAGACCCGAGATCTAGGGAAAGACAAGGTGTGAATTTATCTGTGACATTGCAACCGGTTCATAGTCATGCTACCTAACGTATCCAACCACTGGTCACGTTAATCACGCGAACCCTAATAATGTAGTTTGTACTCATCAACATGGTTCAGCTCACCAATTAGTTGGTCTATGAATCGACCCCACATCTTGGTTTGCCCACCTACAACTTCTAACCTGCTCGTTCCCATAGTTCTTATAGTTGCATTATTATATATTATTTCAGAAATATACTTACAATGAAAAAACAAATGAATGAAACTATGTCTTTGGCTGTTGATTGGTCAAGAGAACTAAGCACTTGTGATCCTAATTATTATAAATGGACACAATGGCTTTTTCTCAAATTATATCAATCAGGTATGGCTTATCATCGTCCAGCCTATGTTAATTGGGATCCTATTGATCAGACTGTCTTGGCAGATGAACTTATTGACAGTCAAGGATGTTCGTGGCGTTCTGGTGCTAAAGTGGAACGACGTCCTTTACGTCAATGGTTCTTTCGAACAACTGCTTATTCTGAGGTACGTTAACATGTATCGAATAGTTTTCATGTGCTTTTTTGTATCACGTACTAAAAAATCACAAATCTATGCAGTTACTGACAAGTGAACTGACCCATGTTGGTAGGTGTAAACTACCTGGTTGGGATCCGCGAGATGATAGCAATCGATGGTTAGTGACCTTGAATGACATGGCTCGAAATAGTTTGTAATGGCACAGGTTCATCCACTCTTTGTGTTCTACCAAATTCTAATCTTCTGAATTCTTCATGTCTCTATCTTTTTTCTCTTTCCAAATTTGTTTCAGTGGATTATACTCGTTGAATAACGTTTTCAAACCCTAATCTTTCGGATTACTGCTTATACTCTTACTACTACAATTATGGGATTTGAATCGACAACTGCATCACTGTGCTAATGTGGTATGGCGACTTGAACTGATGTACATACATACGGAGTTCTACGTCGTTACTGTCTGTCTGTCTGTAATAAAGTGGTTATTTAAGTATCAGTAATTGCGCACATTCGATTTACATTAGACTATAGACTACCAATAATTTTTATTTAAACTCTCTAATTTGCAGATTACTTAACTTTGATTTAGTTTAAAATGTGACGTATCTTTTGAATTGTACGCTTTTTGTCTGTGGCATTTTGTTTTATTCATCTGGGGTGGAACTAAACTTTAGTCCTTCAAAGGTGCACAGCTCTTAGGCAATAAGTTATGGGTTTGAACCTTAATCCTCTTATTTTGGTTTTGTCAACTGTCGCCTGCAATGTGACTAACAACTGAGTGCATTGCTTTCATTGGCATATAAGTCATATTATTCATATTATTATTACCTCATCTGCAGTGAATAATGTACTATCATGACAGACAGGATAAATGCAGCTCTGTTATGTGCTTGTGCTCTTATCACCTCAAGATCAGATGACAGGTGAAAAATCATGGAAAAGACACGCTGTTAAAGGAAGTCACTTATACCGCACCCTGGGTTTCAGCTTACATGTCTCTGTCTAGGTCAGAAGGCAAATCGTGTATATACCTAATGTTTGTGTAGATTATAATTCGGTTTGGTAATTAAGCTATCCTACTGATTTCAGTTTTCTCATTTGTACAATTAGTTATATCATGAAAAGTGTATTTTGTAACTGAACTAGACTGCAAAATATTTTTGAATCCTCTATTATCTATTGTCTAGTCTCTTTTAGATGGTTTAAAAGATATTGAGAATAATCAGTGGCGTGACGTCATCCAGTTACAACGTGGTTGGCTTGGTCATTTGAATGGTACTCAAATGGAGTTCAATATTTACTCATCTACTGAACATTCTGAAATTAATCCTCAGCAATCATTTTCGGATTGTGGACATTTAAAGAATATCATACCTCAAAATGAACGACTAGTTATATTTACAAAATATCCAAGTCTAGCAGTCGCTGATTTAATCAGTCATGTAAAAGTTGGACCAGATAGTGTTTATTTTGCAGATATCTATCGAAAGGTATATCACTCTTTTTAGTTGTGCAATCGTACCAATTTGTTGATAATAACAGATAATTTTCTGTTTGTGTACAGAAACACTGTAAGCGGAAGAAATTATTCTTCCACGTTTAAGAATTGATTAGCAAGTGTACATTGTTTACCATACCATCGTTAACATTAAAACCAAGGCATTAAGGTAAAATGCCAACATCTCTTTCATTTCAACCTATGATATAATATGTAATTCCACTTAATGTAGTTGGTTAATAGTTTCCGTCACTTTCGACCTGGATCGCTTCAACAGTGTAACACTATCCTAATGAATAATGTTGGATAAACTGTTGATTTGACTGATTGTTTTCTAACCTGGAGACCGGCATTATGAAACTATTAGACGGTTGTGTGATGTATGTATGCTAACCAGTCTTCCATTAGCTAGTAATGTTGTTATCAGATACAGTTAATCACTCATTTATTTAGTCTTACAGGAGGCTAGTGGCAATGAATCAAATGTAGACTTAGATTTAAATTCCTGTATATCAGTTTTCACAGCCATATCCTTATTGCTATTAACCATCCATAGTTATGAGAATTTTATGCGCTAAACCCTATGGATACCCGGATTTTTCTATTCAAATAACCTATAATTTAATTCCTACGGACATGAAACTTTCAGTGTTAACAACTACTCATTAATAATCAAATATGTCTGGATTTTTAGTTATCTCATAAGCTACTGAATGTTACAACAAAGATCAGAAGTGTTTTTGTCGTGTGGAGACTTGGCATCAATTATTCTGCATACAACTATCTTGATTTTTATGAAAAGAGACAAATCCTTATTGACTATTGTTGCGATCATGCATAGATATCAACAGATTAACTGTTAAAAAATCAGAAAGGATTGCAAGGCTATTTCGTTCTATTTAGTGAATCTTCAACAAAAAGCACTCATAAACACATAGGAAACTAGGTCTGGTAACTAAGTTAAAAACTTATAGTTAGATCTCACATTAGGTCATTAGTGCATAGGACTAATAAGATTACCAGTCAAGATGAAACAATCATCAAGTATCCTCTACACCCCGAGACTTTGACCTAAAAGTCTGATCCATAAGGCAGTGGAACAATGTCAGGAGATGTAGTCTCATGGTAACCGATAACCAACAATTGGTTCATACGCCATTTGTTCCATCAGGATACTGGAGCCAGCCCATGTGCACCATTGGTTTGGAATGAGGGTTTTCCAACTCTCCGTATCCACCAACCTGGTTAAATCGCTGGATATTCGCTTTTTGTCCTCTCAGTTGAATAATTAACTTTTATATAGTTGTTTGTATATCTCTCTATTTATTTATTCGTTTATTTATTTATTTATTTATTTATTTATTTATTATTATGATGATCCCTAGCCTGAGCATAAACGTGATCTGAACTTTAGTCGAAAGCTAATCTTACATTCAAACTGGGATAATTCATATAATATTGGTAGTAATAATAATCATAATAACAAATTATCGATTGCATCCTGTACATCTATATCACCATGGCCAGAAATTTTAAACATATTTATTCGTCATCCATTCACAGGACGTTCTATTCCAATGATTCGTGAAAATATTCCATTACCTAAACTTCCTAGAGCTTATCCAAATGAATTAGGTATGATTATTATTATTTTCTCTTTTTAAATAGAATAATAATTTCATTTTGAAGTAAAAAAAACAACAAGTAAATTAAGATGGATAGTGGCTAGCAGTGGAATCCAGGACGCGCATTTCGTCCTATTTGGGACTCGTTAGGTACATCCAGCTGACGAGTCGCAAATAGGACGAAACGCGCGTCCTGGATTCCACTGCTAGCCACTATCCATCTTTGCTTACCATGCTTGTGAATTAAGGCTATATCGAGGCAATACGCACAGTATGCACATATGCCAATTGGAGACTGACCAGTTGCAGTCCTAACACATCGATGGGAAGATTCAAACAAACAATACTAAACAAGTAAATTTGTGAAATAGATCAAGTCAGATAATGATCTTTCTTTCCTTAAGTTGTTTTATTTATTAAACATTATTAATACAAGGAATCACCAAATACATATGCACAACACCTCTTCATTCGATTTGTATGAGAGCTGGGATGTTGCCTGGGTGTTCAAACCGAAACAGGTGGTTTCCTTAGAGAGCCACATCCCGAGCATTTGACTTAAAGGTCTAATCCGTAAGATAGTGGAGCAACGTAAGGAGATGCAGTCCTATGGTAGCCGGTGACGAACAGTTGGTTCAGATGTCTTCCTATCCCTCAGGATCCTATAGCCCATGTACACAATATTGGTTTGGAATCAGGGTTTTCCAACTCCACTAGATGGATCCTCCGTACTGTTTATTTTACCTTAAAAAAGTCATTTGTGGGTGCCCCCGAATGCCCTGGTACGATCGAGTGGGGGGATTCAGCTCTCTCTCTTGAAATGTTCTCACACGGCCACGCGTGTACAGCCTCTTTCAGGGAAGTCCTACTCAATGTCTTCTCGTGGCGGGGTTGTTGTTTACAAAATTGAGAGGACGAAAAGCGAATGTCCGGCACTTTAACTGGGTTGGTGGACACGGAATGTCCACCTAGGGGATCCGTCGTACACAGGCCGAATTGCGACACTACGGGTAATCGTCGAACAATTTGTTGAGCGGAATTCGTCACTATACACCAACTTCATTGACTATGAGAAGGAGTTTAACAGTGTGGACAGGAGAACATTATGGAAACTTCTTCGAGTTCCTGAGAAGATTGTTAACATTATCCAGAACTTATACGACGGACTGCTGTTCAAAGTCGTACGTGCAGGACAGCTGACAGGTGCATTTCCAGTAATTACTGGAGTCAGACAAAGCTGTCTACCCTCCGAGTTTCTCTTTCTTATGGTGATTGACTGGATTCTGATGACCTCGACATCTGAGAGGAAGTACGGAATACAATAGACAGCTCAGAACCAATTATACGATTTGGACTTCGCAGATGACCTAGCCCTCCTATCTCATACACACGTACAAATACAGACGAAGACAGAAAATTTAGCAGCAGCCTCTGCATTAATAGGCCTCAACATACACAAAGGATAAAGTATGGTTCTCAAATGCAACACGGAGAACACCAACGCAATCACACTTGATGCCGAAACTCTGTAAGAGTTGGAAACATTCACGTACCTGGGGAGCATCGTTGATAAAGAAGGAGGATTGGATGCAGATGTAAAGGCGAGGATTGGCAAAGCAAGGGCAGCATTCTTACAATTGAAGAACATATGGAACTTAAAACAACTATCAATCAATATTGAAGCGAGAATCCTCAATACTCATGTTACTCAACATTCACTGGCTGGATACCATCAGCAACAGCCTTCTGTGAGAGGGGACAAACCAGCTTTCAGCTGAAGAGAAAATTATCAAGCGACGTTGGAAGTGGATAGAACTTTCATTACAGAAATCATTAAACTGCATCACGAGGCAATCTCTGACTTGGAATCGTGAAGGGAAGCGGAAAAGAGGAAGGCCAAAAAACACATGACGATGGGAAATAGAAGCAGATATAAAAGGAATGAATAAAAAGTGGAGAGGATTGTTTAGAATAGGGTTGGATGGAGAGTGCTGGTGAGTGGCTTATGTTCCTCTATAAGGGGTAACTAACGTAAGTAAGTAAGGTGCATTATTTAGACTAGAAATGAACGTGATACAACAGCAACGTTGAGAGACAGACAAGAAGAGGATCAAGAATTGCGAAACCTACCTACAACAAACAACTCTAGTCTCAAATTAAAAGTTATCATCGCCTATTGACGGTATTCTTATTTACTGTGACACGACCATGGTCATGCCGCGACATTTTGTCTCCAAAAGTATGCGAAGATTAATATTTAGTAACTTTCATTCTTTGTCTTATCCTGGCGCAAAAGTTTCGACTATACTAATCAATGCCAGATATATATGGCATGTCTTACAGAAGGATGTACACAAAACGGTTAGATAGTATTCGGCCTGTAAGCATTCAAAAGTTAGTCGTCACACAAATTCACCCATCGGTGTTTTCTTACAACCAGATTTATAAAGGACAGTGGTATTTTTCCTCTGAGTATATTTTATAGTGTTGATCGTTAAATTACACATCAAGACTACTGTTATTACTGTAATTGAATTTATTTCAGTTAAGGTGATCCCAAGTGTACCTCTTTTTTCAAGAGAGGTTTATCATCTGTACTTTACGAGTACAAATACAAAAAAGACTAAGAGCCTTCGACCTAAAGGTCTAATCCATAAGACAGTGAAACAACGTCAGAAGATGCCGTCTCATGGTATCCGGTGACCAACAATTGGTTCATACGCCATTTGTTCCATCAGGATACTGGAGCCAGCCCATGTGCATCATTGGTTTGTAATCATGGTTTTCCAACTTCCCTAGGTGGACTCTCTGTGTCCACCAACCGGGACATTCGCTTTTCATCCTTTCAGTTTCGTAAACAATAGTAATACCGTAAGATGGCATTGAATAGGACTTTCCTGGTAGTGGTTTTATGCATGTGGCCGTGTGAGAGCATTTCAAGAGGGAGAGCGGACTCTCCTCACTCTCGACCATACCAGAGCATTTGGATACAATTTGTTTAATTAATATACATTATTTTTATTATTATTATTATTTAAACACATATATATTGGTACAAAAGGGCACCAGGTACATATGCGCCACACTATTGTGTGTGTGGGCTGTGATGCTGCCCGGGTGCCCAAACCGAAGCAGGTGGTTTTCTTAGGGGGCCACACCCCGAGCCTTTGACCAAAGGGTCTGATCCACAAGGCAGTGGATCATCGTGAGGAGATGCAGTCCCATGGTAGCCGTTGACCAATGACAGGTTCGTCCGCCCTTCGTTCCATCAGGATACTGGAGCCCATGTGCACGATTGGTTTGGAATCAGGGTTTTCCAACTCCCCTTGGTGGACCCTCCGTGTCCACCAACCCGGTTAAAGCGCCGGACATTCGCTTTTCGTCCTCTCACTTTCGTAAACAACACTCCCGACACGAGAAGGCAGTGAGTAGGACTTCCCTGGCAGAGGCTATATATTCGCTGGCCATGTGAGAGCATTTGGAGAGGGAGAGTGGACTCTCCCCACTCTCGGTCGTACCAGGGCATTTGGGGGCAATTAATATACATACTTTTCCTAATCTATTTCTTTTTTTCCCCACTCTTTTTGTTATTAGTCTTTTCTATAAATGGTCAAACATCTGACGGCTCCTTGTCAGAATTATTAGATATACCTTTACCACCTGGAAAATTAATTTCTTCAGAAAAAGATTCACTAAATTTAGATCAATCTAATATTGTTCTCAATGAAGAAGATTTAAAACGTTGTATATTATCTACTCCTATCTTTGAGGTATGTAAAAATTCAATTATTTGTTTACATATACATCAATTTATGTATATCAATATCGTTTATTATATTCTCGACAATAATATAGTGGTGTAGTCTACTTATATCCATATAAGTAGTATTTGATAATGGTTAGACATAGAATGTATTTTGGCAGATAACCGATAAGGAAAGAATCGAAATGAAGCGCAATTGGTAGGAAAATGCATGAACAATGAAATTAGAGAAGATGGATTGATATTTACAGAAGGAACAGTGAAGATTGATACAATTGATTGTTATTTTGTAAATTAACTGTTTGTTGTATGGTTAACAAAATTTAGTGAGATAGTCTGTAATTTTTGTCTAAATACATTCAATTATCACCAGTCATGTTTTGTTCATTACAATACTAGATTAATTATTTCATACTTTCTTCTAATGTACAGATAGATATCACCCAAATAGATGGTTGGCACAAGGTGTAGATCCATGTACTTAGCTCCGAACAACACTCTATGTATGAAGACTAGTGTTACTACTCGGTTGCCCCTACTTGAAGTAGGTTGGATGGGATTTTAGCCCTGGACCTAGTGGCTAAAATTCGAATGCCCTGATTAATAAGCTACCACTCCATCAGAGTATGTGATCCTATACTTGGTTATACTTTTTCTGAAGTCATCTGCTGATGCACTGAAGTCACAGTTTGCATGTGAATTTGCGTTAGGTGTTTTAGATCTGACCTCAATTTACAATTTTATTAATCAAAATCTCGAGGATATAATGTCATTTACTTAGCCGTTTCAAAATGACCCGATTATTTATATTCATCTATTATTAATTATTTATCGAATGTGAGAAACATATACAAATTTCTTTGACTACTTTTAAGTAAAAGGGTTTTTATCATATGTTGGCTCCACCTTGTGAATAAGTAAAAATTAGAAAGCATTGGACAATTATTTTAATCTTGGGTAAACTCTTCAGCTGTAGAGACTCGCCACCTGCCACCCTTAATGCTCTGGTACGGTCAAGGGTGGATAGCGTCCGCTATTCCTGTTGAAACGCTCTCATATGGTCACGCGTATACAGTCACTACTATGGGAGTCTTGTTCTCCGCTTTGTGGTTTGTCTGTTATTTACGAAATTGTGAGGACGAAAAGTGAATGCCCGGCGCTTTAACCAGGTTTGTGGGTACGGAAGATTCACCTAGGGAAGTCGGGTTCGAGGATCCTAAGAGAACAATTGGTGTGTGAACCTATTGTTATTTGCCGGCTATCATGGGACTGCAGTTCTTAGCATTGTTCCAATGTCTTATGGATTAGGTCTTTAGATCTAAGGCTTGAAGAGTAGACTCCAAAGAAAACCAACTGCTTCGGTTTGAGCGCATATATATTTAGTGCCTCCTCATTAATTCAAGATTGAATGTTTCAACAAACTAATAGATCATTCAGTGGTTATCCCTAATTCTAATCATTTCAGGCTATAAAAAACTAATTTCTCATGTGAGAGAAAATATCAATGACCTTTTTCTTTGTTAACGCTTCATTTTTCTAAAAAGCTTCATGGGAAAACAGTTGGTGAATCTATGGATAAAGCTATGCAAATCTTAAAGGTATGTTAAACTAAACCTATTTTATTGCTACTTTACATTTTTCGTTTATTGTTTAATATTAACCTAACAGTATGAATATAACGGAGTCGATTCAGGATATCCCGTTATATCCCGTTGAGATTAATGAATGGTAAATGTTGAGAACTATTTATGGATCAATATGATACGCATATTTCCTATTGTATAATTGTTAAGTAACTAAACTATTCATATTCATGATCCTCATATTCTAAGCTTTATTTTGACCCATAGACTATTACTGTACGATTTACCATTCTTGAGTTATGTTCAGTCAATCGAATACTGTCTCCTACATTCATAGTCACATTTGACTATATCTTGTACAAATATTATTTTCCATTTTATTGGTACGATGTAGTCAGTCTGTTTGGTATATAAACTCAGTATGTTTGAAATACATGATTCATATAGCAGAGGCTGAGATCGGTGTCCGGGAGTTAACGCTCCGGGCTAGGTGGGAAGCAAGGACCGATAACGGCTCTAGACCGCTTGTACGAATTTTATGTGTCGTTGGTCCGACTGATAATTTACTGTACTCTAATTGGCAGCATCTTCTCGTCATATATTGATAGGGGCAAAAACACACATGTTATAACAATATTCAACATATCAAAGGTACATAGTTCTATTTATTCATCTAAGTTGTTTAGTTCAAAAAAATATCTGTTATAATCATAAGTTTCTGAATAAATATAGTATACTTATCATTCAGTCAGTCAGCTTCAACTTAGGACTAGGAACATATATGCATCGGTCCAAGTTGCCATACCTCATTAGCACAACAAGATGAACACTGAATTCATAGAAGTTGTTGTATCCCCTGGCGAATTATGAATCATAAATCTGATGTCCATTTATGGACAAATGTAATACGCCTATTCCTATTGGATAGTTGTTAAATGAGTAACCTAAATCTGATGTCTATTTATGGACAAATACAATATGCCCATTCCCTATTGGATAGTTGTTAAATAAGTGACCTAATCGTTTCAGTGTTCCTCTTATCACAACCTTTGTTTTGACCTTGGAACTATTATTATTGATTACTTTCCCCCTAGCTACAGCCACATTGGCCAATTACTGTACAAATGTTATTTTTCTATTTTTTGGTATAATTGAGTCTGTTTGGTTAGTATATATAACCCAGTGTGCTTGTGAATAATGATTCATATTTCCGAGGCTGTTATTTGTGTTCTGGACTCAACTGGCTGGGCTAGGCAGTTAGGAAGGACCGAATAGCAATCGAGACTGCTCGTACGTATTTTCTGTATCATTGCACGTTTCATATACAATAACGATTGTTATACGAGTCATAACAGAAGTAGTTAATTTAATGGTGGTAATATACAAAAGAAGTTAGGGACTTCAAGCACTGATGTTACGTTTTGGTTTGGCCTCCCTTAACTCTCTTCCAAGCATCCCCAATACTAGTCATCATTGCATGTCATAGTATACTTATGCACCATTATGTTTTGTAAACAATAGTATAATAAGATCTCGGGATCTATCTAGGCAAATATCAATTTTTTTACACCAAAGTATTAGTTATATTATTGTCACATTTTGTGATTAACTGTTCACTATCCAATGACCAATATAGTATTTGCCTAGTTCTTTGAAAGCTTATTACACTACGGTAGAAAGGATATCATTCTTCTCATGATTGCCATTACACATTGCTGACGAGTAGCAACTATCGTGAATCCTAGGTTCAAGATTCAGTGTTTAGTACCTATAAAACACTTGACTTCCAACTAAAATTTCATAGATTCAAACTCCTCTTCAATCACTTCGGTTTGTGCTGCATTTACACAGATAATATGCTTCAAAGTCAATTACATAACAGAATAATTTATTGCTTTAGAGATCCCAATTGAATAGTATTTTCAAAACTGTTTCTGGTTTATAAGCTTTTCTCACTTATATTTACGTATTCACTACAAGCCTATTTCTTTATATTAAGTTCTGCTATGTTGTCCTTCCTGTCTTTTTTTTCCTCTCTGTCTTCTATCCTTTTTCTATTACTATATTATATCATTCTCTTCGCTTCGCTCCCCCTATTCAGGATTTCTTACTTACTTCTTGTATGATGATCGTTGTTGTGTTGTGATGTGACTTGTTTGTATTGATTCTAATTGATTAGTATCGATCAATTAATTCCCCTTTATTGTTTTGGTGATAATGGTAGTTGCTTGAATTGATTGGTACAATGAATTGAATTATTATTTGGTTAGAGTGAGTTTTTATGGTACAATAATGATGATTAGACTGTAATAATAGGACGAAACGGACATCCAGTGCTTCCAGGTTTTCCATGGTGGTCTAGCTTCAATTGAATCATGATTTCAACTATGAAAATACTGAAATCTCCACAAAACCCCTCCTGATTAGACTGCAAGTCATTTGATTAAGTTCAGTTATGGTTTCGAACCAATTAGGATTGAGACTATTGACCTCAAAGCCACTATGATCACACTATGATCAATCAAATGTTATCTTTTCATTTCAGTCTTCTCATTCGAATAATGGGTTTTGATATACTGTAAGAAGTGCATATTGTAACGAGATCAAATCGTAGAATATAACATGTTTTTCATCTTAACCAACGGATTAAATATTCCATTGGAGATGTTAATCACTAAGATATGATTTATGATAATATAGAAATTAATACATTTTGGTATTGGTTGTTTTATGGCACTCGAAGCCAACGGTACTGGGTTCGAGTCCTGGATTCTTGATTGATTCTTGATCTTGGAAGAAGGGTATCTAGTATAGATATTCATTTAAGATAATTTAACATCCCATTGGTGTAGACATGGAAATTTAAATATTTCAATATATTTTATTATATAAATTCATATTTGAATCTTCTTTTTATATTTTTAATTTATAAAAATTCTCATTACTAACTTTTATTTTAGGTTAGTGGACGTGGTGGTTATCGTTGTGATAATATGCGTACTGATTGGTTAATCTCTAGACAACGTTATTGGGGTACTCCTATACCAATTATACATTGTGATTCATGTGGGGTAAGGGATATATATATATATATATATATATATATGTATATTAATCAGGTTGAATTCTATTTATAAGATAATTATCTTTCATTTATTTCAAGTGGTGCTTTCTCATTATAGTGATATTACCCTGAAAGGTTTATATTTGGATAGATGTTTACATAGATGAAGTCGTTTGTTAATAATGAGTTCAGATAATATGTAAAAGTATTTAAGAGTAGAAACTAAACTATACTTGGATGGTTTTATTGACTCAAATGTTTAACAGTAGGGGATTGAAAAAAATTTGGATAGAGTTCAGTCACTCACTACTAATTTGTACATGGTTTGTGTATTGGAGAGTTTAATTTATTCACTTAGTCTGTCATAATGTAGAACCTAGTACGTATGTAGATCAGTTCAAGTTGCTATACCACATTACCATAGACAGATGAAATTTGTTAGGACAAATCCCAGAATATTTGAGGTAACAACAACATCAATGGTAATAGAAAAAAATTAGGTATCGAAGATATGATTAGAGAAGAAAATATAAATTAGTGGCATAGAAATGCATAAAGTGTTATGAGGAAGTCAGAAGCTCGTAATCTGCAACAAGACAGAGAAAGAATCTACATGTGTTGTTTCAATCGATTTAGAGCCATTTCTTTCAAAGTCTCTAAATACCGGTTACGATAATCACAAATGCTACAATCAGATAATCCACACCTGTCGATATGGATCATTCCAGTTGTCAGTGATTCCATGACCTGACGTCGTGTGTTGGTTTGTCGTGTCCTAGTTTTATACCAGCCTATTCCTACACCAGACATCGTCATCGGTTGAGGTAGGAATTAGTGGTTGTGTATGCGTAACAGATGAATAGAAACTAGAGAGGATTGTCAGGATAGGATTGGATGGAGAATACTGGTGGGAGGCCTTTGCTCCTCCACAAGGGTTATCAGGCGTAAGTAATTATTTGATTACTGAAATATGTTGGCCTTGTATATGTAATTAAAAATCATTAATTGGAACTTTTACAATTTCTCTTATTCAATGATTTCATATTTTTAAATATATATTTATAGGCAGTACCCGTACCAGAAGATCAACTCCCTGTACTTCTACCTCCATTAGAAAGTTCATTGAAACGAGGTGATGAACCTTTAAAGCATAATGAATCCTGGCGTAAAACAACTTGTCCTAAGTAAGAAAGCTGTTATTTTCAATTTTTTTTGTTAATCTCTATTTCGTTCATCTAAATATAGTTTTTCATCATGGAATTGACTTCAATAGTAGAACTACTGTAATGCCGGAGTTACTGTGCTTGTGTTTCATCTTGGTTTGAGATTCCTCAGCAGCGTAAAATGTGTACCTCATGAATAATTGAATATGATCCATGATAAGAATAATCTCAAATTAAATCAGTCTCCAGAACTAATTACCTAAATAGTTTTCATTTTAGTAAAATTTATTGTGTGGTTATCGCTCTCACATTTGTTGATTGCCGTATATGTAAATAAATATATTAGATTGAGGTCGTGAATCAGTCAATGTTAAACTGCCATTGAATGCTTGGAAGCGCAATTTGTTAGATTGGTTGAGGTTAGTCATCAACACCGTTGGATACCATATCAGTTTAGCGTTCAAGTTCGAGACCGAATCGCGCCTATGGGATCATGGGTGCACACTGCTGTGGAATCCCATACTAAGACGAAACGGCCATCCAGTGCTTCCAGACTTTCAATGTTGATCTAACATTGGTCGATTCATGATCTCAATCAAAAACCGAACAATCTCTAAAACCTCATAATAAATTTCATATCAAGAGTTGCAATCATTACTTTTATATATTAATTTTCGAATAACAATCGGTTTGATTATCTACGCTTGGTGTTGTCGACTTGTATCTTCTTATTGTTATTTTGAACTGCAATTGATCGGTTTCAATTGATCGAGTCCCGGAGAGAACATCAACTCTGAGATGCAGGTACATCCAGCTGACGAGTCTCAAATAAAACGAAACGCACGTCCTGAATTCCACTGCTAATCACTATCCATCTTTGCTTACAAATTAGATTCTGTTCATTATAAAGAAATACAAGATTGCCTCTGGTACCTATTACAAGTCACGTTTGATAAAGTTTCTAGTCATTGAGGTGTGTAATTTTTAGGATTTTACACCTTTAGTTACGGTGCGACAATATACGTCAGTCATGTAATTGTCTTACATTCCTTGAGAAATTTTTATCAACTAACCTTTCAGTTATAGCCTCAACAAATTATGTGCTATATGGAAGCCGTTGAAATGATACGTTTAAAATATAACCAAACTACCGACACCAGCGTTCCTAGTTAAAAAAATTTATGTAAGTATCATATCAGCTATAGTTGAATACATAAAGCTGAACTTGGACAGTACCTACATGATTTTATCACCGTATATGAACAATCTTACGAAGACAATGTTGATTATGTTACAGAAATTTGCCGAAGATTCTCAGATCATAGAGGCCATGTTTCAGATGTAGATCAGAACTACTCGCGGCTGAACGTTGTAAAACTGACCTTTTACAGACACACTAACATCACAGCAGTGCAAAAGATGGCTCAGTCTTACAGAAAGGTTCGAAATGCATCCCGTGCTTAAGAACATTTATTACCAACTAGTAAAGTGCGTTTTTACTTGGAATCCTATTTCAAAACCAGTAACCAATGTACAACAAATATATACATATATGCATATTATCTATGCGGTTTAAATGTTTTTAAAATTTTAGATGTGGTAATCCAGCGAACCGTGAAACTGATACACTAGACACATTTGTTGACTCGTCATGGTATTATTTACGATATTTGGACCCACAGAATAATTCATCAATTTGTGATAGGATAAAAGCAGCTAATAGTCTACCTGTTGACATTTACATTGGAGGTTTGGAGCATGGTAAGATATTATTGTCGTTTAGTGAAAAGTAATGCATTGAAGTTGTATAAATCCTAAATGTTGGATGGTTGGAGGTAATCGATAAAAAATCTCAAGGGACCTAGGTTTCGTGATAGTGGAGGAGATTTGTAGCTCAGGTGGATGAGAACCTAGGTTTCGTGCTAGTTGGGGATCATTAGCAAGGATGACCTAAAATTTTGGAGGAACTAATGCTATCTGCCGGATACAAACCATCCATTTTGATAATTTGTGTTGTTATTACTGTGGTATTTGGGTTGAGACTGACTGATAGGCTACACCAGTCAGATATATCATTTCAATGTCAAACAATAAAGTAGGAAATGCTAAAAAGCGCACACTATTGACCAGGATTTATTGGAACTTAGTGACGAAACATATATTTACTATTCGTTGAAAATCTGACCTAATTTTCTGAGTTTGATCATGTATTTCAACTCAGGATACCCGTTAAGAGATTTCTACTCACATTTGATTTTCACACTGAAGTAGCTAGTTGGGCTTGCATATGCGAAGCGTTTATATCAATATCAGAACGTCTAACACAACTCTGACCTATAGAACTGAGATGCTTTCAATTGATAGATCACTGAGTAGCAATTTTTTATTTTTATTTATACACATAAATATTGGTACAAGCGGGTACCAGATACATATGCTCCCCACAAATCAAATGAGATTTGTGTGAGGGATGTGATACTGCCAAGGTGCCCAGACTGAAGCAGGTGGTTTTCTTAGGGGGGCACACCCGGAGCCTTTGACTTAAAGGTCGGATCGACGAGGCAGTAGAGCATCGTGAGGCGATGCATTCCCATGGTAGCCGGTGACCAACAATAGGTTCATATGCCGTTTATTCCTTCAGGATACTGGAGCCCGTGTGCACCATTTGTTTGGAATCCGGGTTTTCCAACACTCTTAGATGAACTTTCCGTGTCCACCAATCCGGTTACAGCACCGGTCACTCGCTTTTCGTCCTCTCAATTTCGTAAACAACACCAGTGTCACGAGAAGGCAGTGAGTGGGACTTCCGTGACAGAGGCTATATTACGCATGACCATGTGAGAGTATTTTGTGAGGGAGAGTAGACTCTCCCCACTCTTGGTCATACCAGGGCATTTGGGGGCCACTAAGTAGTTATGAGTGTTACACCTTCAAGATAGTGCAGGATGTAAAACGTCATATCTTTTGAACTTAATAAAAAGCTATTTACTTAGCTGAACAACTATTTCCTCTGAATATGTATTTACAATCATAGCAGCATATTTGAGCATCATTTACCACTTTCTACCTTTGATTTTCTGCTTTCTAAATATAGCTGTTCGTCATTTGTACTATGCTCGTTTTATTGCACATTTCCTACATGATATAAATGTAATACCGTGTAGAGAACCATTTAAACGTTTCCTACCTGTTGGTTTAGTATTGGGTCAAACGTATATTGATCCACAATCTGGTCGTTTTATACCAACACAAAATGTTGATAAAAGATATTTATCTGAAAAAGAAAGTGAGTTTATGTTCATTCCCTCTATTTTATATGTATATGCCTGTTATTTTTGTTTCGTAAATGAAACTTCCAGAACAACCCTGAGCATATAAAGTTATGTAAGATGGTTATATCGAAGCAAATTTTACAGGATATATTTTAACAAAGGCTGATTGAATTTCGATCATGAACGGGATAATTCAAGCCCTTACTAACAGCGTACCTGTTGAATAATTTCATAGCTATTTGGCTTCGGTACTTCAGTGGGTAATACGGTGATATTCAAAGAGACAAATACTTGGATTGAAGTTCGAAATATGAACATCAATCCTAGGATTCAGGTACATTAAACTGATGAGTCCAAAATAGAATAAAATGTACGTCGTGGATTTCACTGTCAGACATAGATCATCTCTTCTAACTTAGGGGTAATAGGTTCATCGAAAGATTCATCTTCAACTAATATTGTGGTGTGAATTACTTATATCTACATAAGTAGTATACGGTGATGGTCAGGCATAGAATGTATTTCACTAGAAGATCGATAAGGAAAGAACCGAGACGGAACGCATATAAACGCACATAAACAATGAAATCAGAGGAGATGGACTGATATTTGCGGAAGGAACAGTCAAGGTTGAGACAATTGATTGTTTTTTTGCAAATTAACTGGTTGTCAGATTTTAGTGAGATAGTCTGTAATGTCAAATGCATTCGATTGTTCCCACCCGTGTTTTATGTTCACTACAATATCGGTCAACAAGCATCATTGAACCCTTAAGATAGTATTGAATAACTCATTTTATCTGAATTTAAGACAGAAACTTCTTGGGATTTGACTAATCTCCTTACTTTCTACAACCATGATTAAATGGGACATTGTCTTTTAATGGAGGCAAATGTAAATGATAGTACGTAGTCCACTTTAATAATATGAGTAGTTTGTATCATTTCTAATCAGTATGACGAATTTTTCCACTCATAATGATTAGGTTAACTACTAATGTCATGTATAATGATATGTATATGGTTTCATACTTCTTTTTTAAATTAGAGTTATAATATTGTTGTGATATGATGATATGGAGATATGCATCCTAGCTACTGTCGTACATAGTCATCGACTTAAATAATGTTAATCAAGAACGGAACAAGTCAAATACGGGAATAAATTTTGAATATGTATATTTTGACAGTCGTTGATCCAGAAAGTTATTCAGAATGGAAAGCGGAAAATCAAGGTGAATCGGAATAGAGTAGGAGAGTGATCCAACTTAATGTGATGAAATGTGACTCGTTATTTATAGTCAGGCATTAATAAGCTATCGATATGTGATGAGTGTGGGATAAGCAGTGCACACACATACTCTCATATAAAAAAGTCAGGGTTATTAAGTGAATAATCAACAAGGTCAAAACGTGACTTGAGAAGAATGAATAAGTCGGCCAGTACGGAACTAGAATAATCCATGTAGGCTTGGCATAGTGCTAGACACTGCTATTTAACCAGACCAATTTAGTAAAACGGTTACTATTTGCCATATAAAGGTATTGTAGTGACTAAAGTTGAATTCATCATCAATTTTATCCATAGATTAATCTCAGTTAATTGATCATCAGATTGTATTACCGATTGATTGAATTTAGAAATGTAAACCGTTGAATAGCAGATCAATGTTTCAATAGTTAGCACTCATCGCATTACCTCAGGATCCAGTATTTTATCTTTGGTAGATTCAGAGAAAGACTTTCATACTAGAACAAAATGTCTACAGTGTTACCTCAACAGAGGTCAGTTTGTGATGTATATCACTTATAGATTACTAATTCTGTGAAGAAATATGACAAGCTTTTAGTGTGAGCATAGAAAAATTTATTTTAAATTATTAACTACTTTTAAGTATTATAGTAGTTTGACGTTTCTCACATTTTAAAAATGATTATTTTGATCGCTTTATTAATCTGTAATCTAGTTTTGATAAATAGATTGTTGGTATTCAGTTTATGGACAGATTAAGTGTACTTCACTAAAAAAATCAGATATCCATATCGTCTCATAATTCTCGGAAGTTTCGTAAAATGTTTTAAGTATTGAACTGTAACTACATAAACCGTAGGTAATTAACAATTCAATGCCAATTACTAGTCTATCATAATTACAGAACTATAAACGAATCAAGTATTAATGAGCATTTTATAACCATGTCTTACTTTTCTTGGATATTATTACCGTTACGTCCGTCCATCCATCTGCCCTCTAATATATAGGAGAGAGTTGTCTTGATCTACTTTAGAGCCTTGATGCAATAGGTTGTTTACTTCAATCTTGAAGCTAGCAAATGTGTGAGTCTCTTTGTCACTAAACGATCTTGGGGAAAGAGAGAAGAAAAATAATCTGTCACTTGCCTTTGACCTGATAGGTTGGCTAGCGAGGCGACAAGAATTATTACATGGGACTTAATTCAATGACAACCTCAAGTGGTATCTGACAGGGCTGTTCACTATCTCCATTTTTGTTTAACTTCATCATACACCTACTACTGGAGATAAACTTCTTGTCGACTAAATTTTCCGGAAATAATCTCGTACCAGGAGGTCCACTTATTGACTTTGAATATGCAGATGATATAGTCTTGTTTGGTGAAGACGCTGATAAAATGCAGTCTTCTGTTAGCACTGAGTAACAATGCCAGGATATTTGGAATGCGTTTCTCTCCCTCTAAATGTAAATTGTTACTCCAGGACTGCTGCGGAACATGGCCATTAAGAATAGAAGATACTCGTAAGTTACTAGTATTTGACCACAGATGTCTTAGAAATATTGTTCGTATCTGCTGAGATCACCGGGTAAGTAGCAATGGTGAGGTTAGGCTTTACTATATTTGGGAATGATGGTAAATTAGTTGATGAGGTCATGAATCTTCATCGACTGAAAGGGTTAGGCCACATGTTACGTATGCCTGAACACCGATGTTAGGATGTTCACAGGAATATCCCAAAAATTATCTCGAATGTAAAGTGGTATGTTTTCAGACTCTTCACATAATTCGCATGTTATTTCCTATTGGCCATTATTTACAGTTGTCCTAACTATGACTTTCACGTGTCGTTTTCCTACTGGTCAATTTTGAGTTGTCCTAATTATAACCTTTACGTGTCCTTCCTTTCCATTGGTTACTGTTAATAGTCATCTTAACTGTATAAATATGCCTTGTCTGTAAATCATTTTTGACCTGCTTCTGACCCCATAAACAATTCTTATTCAACGGCTGTGTTCTGATTTACTGGAGGTTTTGGGGAACAGTATTGGGGTCTTACTAGGATATCTGAATTTGGTCAACCGGTAGAATTTCGTATAGTCTTATCGCAATACGCAATATTTCGCGAGGTAACAACCGATTACCACGACGTGCTGTGCTGACTGGTATAGGGTATGGTTGGAAGAGAGTTAAAGAGGGCCAAACCAAAACATGGCATCAGTCCACAAAATCACTAACTTCTAGTCTGAGCCATGTTTGTAGATGCAGACTATTCGGTTGCAGTCCTCGTGACTATCGTAACCAGTAGTGGTTTGACACTGTGTTTCAATCAATCAATCACTTATCCATATATCCAAGTATTTTCATATATACAGTAATAAGTTGAACGAATAGCCAATTAGGTTTGTCTCTGTCAAAATTGTTTCATATTCTCTTTTCTCTTTTCTTGTTTTCTTCTTCAAACCAAGTTGAATATTATGAAATTGAAACTAAGAAACCAGTTCAAATGTATTGGGATAAAATGAGTAAATCTAAATTAAATGGAATTGATCCAACTGATGTAGTTGATAAATATGGTATGGATACAATAAGAATTACAATATTGACAAATGTTGGACCACATCGATCAAGAAAATGGTCTGAACAAGATGGTAAGCATGTTGATCATTCTTTTTATTGTTTCCGAATGAGTTTAAGAAAATTGTTATAACTTTTGCCCTATCAATATTTATTTATTTATTTAAACATATAGATATTTGTACAAAGGGGCACCAGATATATATACGCCACAAAAATCTTATTTGATTTGTTAGGGCTGTGATAGTACCTGGATGCCCAGACCGAACGGAGTGGTTTTCTTAGAAGGCCACACCCCGAGACTTTGACCTAAAGGTCTAATCCATAAGGCAGTGGATCATCGTAAGGAGATACAGTCTCATGGTAACCGGTGACCAACAATTAGTTCATACGCCATTTGTTTCATCAGGATACTGGAACCAGCCCATGTGCACCATTGGTTTGTAATCAGGATTTTCCAACACTTCTAGGTGAACTTTCCATGTCCACCAACCCGGTAAGAGCACCAGACATTCGCTTTCCGTCCTCTCAATTTCATAAACAACACCAGTGCTACGAGAAATCAGTATGTAGGACTTCTCTGGTAGAGGCTATATACTCGTGGCCATGTGAGAGCATTTCGAGTGTGAGAGCTAACTCTCTTCACTTTTGACCTTACCAAGGAATTTGTATAATATACACAGAAATAAACTGTCGTAAGAGATAAATGGTTAAAAATTAAGATATCTTTGTACATTGTGTATTTCTATGACTGTTTTGATTTGATTTTTTTTAATTATTTTGTTTATTTTCTAGTCATTCAAGGTGTTAATAATTGGTTATATAAAATGAATCGATTAGTTGAACAATTAATTGAATATTCTAAAATTATACATCAGTCTAATGTATCATGGGAATTGAAATGTGATATAAATGATCCATTATTAATTCATATACCAAATTTTTTAAAATATTATCAATCTATCATAAAACGGGTAATTTCTATAAAAATTTTCTAATAATCTTACTATATTTTACTTATGAAAATCCTTACTTTTGCCTATTACTTCCAATGGAGCTAAAGCCGCCGACCAACATTCTCTAACTCACTCTGTGTTCTGGGTCTTCCTTTTTAGTTTTGTCCAATTGTTGTTCATTCTTCTCATGTCTGTTTTCATTTTTCAGTGTAATGTGTTCTTTGGCCTTTAGGATTCCATGTGAAGGTTTGTCTTGTGACACAGTTGGGTAATTTCTTCAATGTGTGTCCTATCGACTTCCAGTGCTTCTTCTTTCTGATTTCTTCCTCCACTGGAATCTGGTTTGTTCTCTGTCACAGTAGGATGTTGCTGATAGTGTCTGGCCAACGGATCCGAAGTATTTTACGTAGACAACTGTTAATAAACACTTGTATCTTCTGGATGATGGCTTTCGTAATTCTCCAGGTTTCCGCCACATACAGTGGAACTGTGATGTACATCTCTATACCAGACTCTATAATGATGTTTATCTACTTTTATTATTTTATTTATTATTCATTTATTCACACGTTTTTAGCTTACGTGATTGTTTAAATTGTGTTTAAAAACAAAAAAAATATGGAGTTCAAGTCTCAATCCGATTACCAATACTTTGATGTAAGTGCATTCAGCTGATTAGTTCCAATTAGCATGAAATATACGTTTTCGCTGCCAATACTATTCACCTATCGAATCTACTGAGAATTCTGTTGTTTCTCATTGAGTAAATCGTATAAATAATAAGTGAATTTTCTATTGTTTATCATGATCGAAGTTTGATATAAATACTACTATTATTGCATAGATAATCTTCCAATTTCAATGAATAACTCTTTATTAAAAGTTTTTATAGGTCCATATTTGTACCTGTATACTCAGGCAAGCCAATGTTGATTCGTTTGACTTGCCTGAGAATAGTCTTAAGGAATCGCCTTTAAGATGGACATACATTTTGTATTCAGTTATATATGTTATAGACAAATAGACGGGATAGCCGTGGGCTCACCTCTAGGCTCGATTCTCGCTGATCTCTTAGCTAAGCTAGAAAATGGCTCATTTAAGGAGGCTATTTTGAGAAGCTCGATCTATACTGCCACTACATCGACGATACATTCGTTGTCGTAGATCAGAAAACCAGTAAGGATGAACTACTAGAACAGTTCGACAGTGTACATCCAGCGGTTAGTTTCACTGGTGAAGGTGAGTGTGACAAGAAGCTGAATCTCCTTGACGCAGGCGAAGTGGTGGCAGCGTGCACAGAAAAAGTCGATATAAGTCGGAGATTTCGAGTGATCGAAAGAATCTTTTATACATGAAACTACAATTCAACGGGGATGTTGCTAGCGATACTCTGAAAGAAAGATTAACGAAAGTAATTTGTAGTGTGGGGTGGGTTGCTTACATCCACATAAGTAGTATATGATGATGGTCAGGCCGAGAATGTATTTCACTAGAAGATCGATAAGGAAAGAACGGAAACGAAACGCGATCCGTATTAAAATGCATGAACAATAGTAATCGGTGACTGTGGACTGATATTTGTAGGAAGAACGGTCAAGGCTGATACTGTATGGTTATCAGATTTTAGTGTGATTGTCTGTAATTTTCGTGTCAAATACATTCGATTGGCCCTATTCGTGTTCTGTTCTCTACAGTAGGACATTCTGTGCAGCCAATCTTGCGTTAACTTCTCGAGTCGACCAGCAATGTCTACTCAAACGAAGGATAAGTTACCTGAGTTAGCGTCCTCAATGTGCATTTAAAAATTCAGCTGCTTCTGCGGAGATAACTATATTGGGCATACTACTGTGGTGTGGGCTACTTGTATCGACCTAAGTAGTATATGTCGTGAGTCAGTAATGGAATATCTGACAGCAGAAGGTTGAGAAGGTCAAGAAGGGAAGAAAGGTAACAGAAAGTAATTGGTATGGAAATGATGAAACAATGAAGCCTGAGGCAATTGATGAAGTGTCAGTATGATTTTCTTATTTTATCAAGCAACTTTGTAATTTGTGCTAAATACGTAATCGGTTCTCCTCAACTGTGTTTTCCTTCACTACGCTGCCATGCAACCTAACCATCGAATCAGTGAACAGCTATCAACGTGGGTTACGAAGAGCCAGATAAAGACAGTACGCAGTTCTATGTTGGAACATCTAATTATTAGCGGTCCTAATGTAGATAAATCGAAATCATTTCGATGATCCATCGTATGCCTCCATTATTTCCCAAAGCAGTTCTATCCTGTCTCCTACACATAGCTGAAGCCATAGAAATTCATACATTCAACCCCAATTTATGTGTACAGAAGAAATTCATGACTCTTTACCCCTTCTATAACCGGATATAAATTAACAAACGACTTTTTTATTATCATTATCATTATAAGATCGTCGCGCAATTTCGTGGATTGGTTGAGGTTAGACATTAACACCATTAGATGCCAGCTCACTGTTCTAGGGGTAAAGCATTCCTGCGTGAGGCTGAATACCCTAGGTTCGAGTCCCGTGGGCGAGATCGTGAATGCTCACTGCTGAGGGGTCCCACAATAGGACGTAATGGCCTCCTAATGCTCCCAGGTTTTCAATTGATTCATGATCTCAATCAAAATAATTTATTGTATAAAGTGCTAATAACAAATCATCTTGAAGAATATTTTGTTGTTCTACATAACAGATTGATTTTAATTAAACAGTCATTCAAAATCAAAATGTAGTGGGTAACCATTTCCTTTTTCAGATTGAAGAGTTAAGCACTGATTATGAGATCTGGAAGCCCTCCATTCTATCCTTGGTTGGATCGTGATTGGGACTTCTGAACAAATAAACATTAGAACGAAATATCTCTTAAATGTTACTCTATTTTCTGTGATAACTTGTTTGAATGACGTCACTTCTTAACGAGTAATATCTTTAACGTGAGCTTGTTTCTACAATGCTCATTCCTCTACATCTCGTCTAGTATTTTTTTCTGTTTTTTTTTGATAGGTCAATGAATATTATGATGATACATTTGTAATCAGTTCTGTTATTGCTCGACTTCAAGAGATGACTGAATTGCTTCGAGTAAGTCTGTTTATTTTTCATATGTTTCGTTAATAATCTTGTGCTTTATAAATGGTTCGGTCATATGTGTCTATGAAGCATTGCTTGTGTATTATGGGGCCACGGAGTAAGCAATGTCTGGGTTAGAAATACGGTACTACGTAAAGATGATAGAGCGACCCATGAGGTAGTTAATCTTCTCCAATTGAGTTGGTTGGGACATATGTTGCGCATGCGCAACCACTACTTCCTACCTCAACCGGTGATGTAGAAATAGGCTGAGAGAAAACTAGGACACGACATCAGGCCGTGAAATCACTGACAATTGGAATGATCCATATCAATAGGTGTGGACTACCTGATTGTAGCATTCATGATTAACGTAACCAGTATTTCGAAACTTTGAAAGAAATGGCTCTAAATCGATTGAAACGATACATGTGGATTCATTCTCTGTCTTTTCGCAGATTATGAGCTTCTGACTTCCTCAAAACACTTTCTGCATTTCTATGCCACTAATTTATATTTTCTTCTCTAATCATATCTTCGATACCTAATTTTTTTCTATTACCATTGATGTTGTTACTACCTCTTATATTCTGGGATTTGTTCTATCAATTTCATCTGTCTATGGTAATGTGGTATAACAACTTGAACTGATCTACATACGTACTAGGTTCTACATTGCAACTGACTAGCTGATTTACAAATGGTTTATGGTTTTCTGTACTGTCAAATCGGTGGGCTTTATCACATTGTATTTAGGAAGAAACGAGTAAGTTGGGGAATTCGTTTTGTAAACAACATAATAATTTCTCGTTCTATTGATCTGGGCATTTTTACTTACATACATCTGTCACCCCTCGTTGTGTAGCTTAGGCCGCTCACCAGCATTCTCCATCCAACCCTATCCTGGGCAATTCTTTCCGGTTGTTTCCAGTTGCTATTTTGATGTCTGTTTCCGATTCTCTACACAGTGTGTTCTTTGGTCTTCCTCTTTTCTGCTTCCATTCAGCATTCCAAGTTAAGTCTTTTCTCGTGATTCAGTTTGATGATTTCCTCAACGTACACTTCCAACTTCTTTTCCTAATTTCCTCTTCAGATGCAAGCTGGTGATCTTGGCATATGTTCAGCTGATTGTTTATCACTGTTTTTGATCCATTGATTTTGGGATAATTTTTTTTATTGTTCTATGTTGACTGCCTGATCGATAGCTGATCACTTGATTATTAACTTGTCCTATGGGTTAGATTAAAAATCTATCATACGATGACTGTTATATCCTGATGAAGATTAAATTACGAGTGACTTCCGCGATCTAATAATGTACTAATATTCTGTAACTATTCTTTTTGTATAACTAGTCGGTAATTAGATTTTGTATATCTATATTCATCTTATTGTAAGCTTCGTTTTGACCCATGGATCATTATTATACGTTTGACTGTACCTGAAGTATTTCAGTTTATTAATTACCGTCTCTCACGTTCACAGCCACATTTTGACTTGATCCTGTATGAATGTTATTTCCTATTTTATGGTGCGGTGTAGTCTGTTTTGTCTGGTAGAAAAAGCAAGTATGTTTGTAATAAATGATTCGCATAGTTGGAGCTGTTATTAGTATTCCGGACTCAACTAGAAGGGCCAGCGGGGACAAAGGGTCAGTCAGGACGTTAGTCTGCGTATACCGGTCGAACGTCATTGGTTTGGCAGTTTTTTTTGATGGAGTTTTGTTCTCTGAACTGAATGGTTTGGTTGTGGAGCTTTCATCATCCTTTTAAACAACATCATCAGCACAAACTTCTGGTAGAGCTACCAACCTTGCCAATCATCTCAAAATCATATGAGCATAGTACGCTTCTCGTTGTTCGGTTTGGCACAGTGCTAAGACTGAATATGTCGTATTGAGATTAACAAATAAAATCACGTGATAACTAAGCGGGCTTAAATTCACAACAATGAGAGTCATGTTTTTTTTATGTCTAATTCATTCCAATAGATATTTCTATGTGTTGATAAACTTGTTTTCAGTTCCTTAAAATACTGATCTTCTCACGGTATTGGATCTTACCGAATAATTATTTGTTGAAGTTTTTATGTATTAAGTGGTTGATGGTGGTCGGTAAGAACATTTGTATCTGAGTTTCATGTTTGTTAGCTGCTGTCAAGTAGGGGGTGTCTAGGACTATGAGGGAACATTTGTTTCCTCGTACAGTTAAGATAATCTATACAGCTTTAAAGTTTGAGATATTTACCATTAAACAATGTTGGTCTCGACTGACATTTTGTCGGACTGAAATATTTAGGAGGAACCAATTTCATATTTGTCTAGTGCTTAGTGCTTTTTTCCTTCCTATACTATATCGTTATATACAACCTTTCTTTATATACTACCACCACTAAATTAATTACTTCTATGAATCCGATGTTCATCTTGTTCTGCTAACGAGGTATGGCAACTTGAACCGATGCATAAATGTGCGTGGTCCTACGTTGTCGCTGACTGAGTGCTTAGTGCTATTTGAATGTCACAGAAAGCAAGATTCTATGTATTTTTTAATGAGTCCTATATAGTATAAAATCTAATTCAAACAGGGTGCTTTTTTCCCTGTATATTTAATTCAAATAATTTTCTGTGAATCGGTCAGTTTATCATTCAGTTACTTCATATTAGTCTCATGATCACATAAACTATTCAATCATATTTCGACATACTAAATTATAAGTTATTCATAATCAACATTAAATTTTGTTCAGCTTGTGATGTGCACAATGGTGACTAGTATTTGGGATGATTGGAAGAGAGTTACGGGTGACCAAACCCAAATATGGGATCAGTGCATGAAATCACTGACTTCTAGTCTGAGCCATGTTGCTAGATGCAGACTATTCAGTTGGGGTCCACGTGACTATCGTAACGAATAATGGTTTGACGCTGTGTGACATTGCTCAGAATAGATCACAATGGCGCAGATTTATACACTTTCTGTCTCCCCTTAAACTATGAGATTAAAATTGCTTCATATCTTCCTGTAGTATATCTTTATATACAATCTTTCTTTTATATATTACTACAATGGAAGTAACTACTTCTACGAATTCGGTGTTGATCTAGTTGTGCTAATGAGGTATGGCATCTCAGACCGATGCATATCTGTGTCTCGTCCTACGTTGAAGCTGACTGACTTGTTATGTGTACTTATTTCTTTTATCCGTAAGATTTAATGTGCTTGAGCTTTTATGTAAACAAGAGCTAGTATTGATTACCCAGTCCGATTAAGTGATGTAGTTCAGCAATATTCGAGCTTCCGATGAACTTGTTAAGTGGAGTTTTGTAATAATTTTGCTTGAAATGTCCAAAAGATCTGTATTCCATTGGTTTATTTGTATTTTTATTTTTTTCATGATTATAGAAATCTTCTATACATGTTGGTGGTCCAGGACCATCAAGTTTTTTATATCTACGTGCATTAGCTGATCTTATAGTAATGCTTACACCTATTGCACCAATTTATGCATCTGAATTATGGTCTGGTATACAATTTGCTTGTTTAACTTCAACACATTCGAATTTATATGAAATTCTTTCTATTCATTCGAGTAGAACATTGATGAATTCTAATGAAAAAAAGAAGAATGATTATTATTATTATAGTCATTGGCCTTATGATTTGGTAAGATGTTAAGTTTACTCATTAGTGTAACGTGTCAATAAACAAAGAGGCACCAAATAGATATGTGCCACATAAATCATATTCGATTTGCATGTGAGCTGTGATACTGCCTCGGTCTCCAGATCGAACGAGGTTGTTTTCTTAGAGGGTCACATCCGGAGACCTTGACTTAAAGGTCTAATCCATAAGGCAATGGAACAACGTTAGGAAATGTAGTCCCATGGTAATCGGTGACCAACAATTGGTGCATGCTAGACTGGTTGGAAAAAGGGGACTCAGCATTTTGTCAGCGTCTTCACTAAATAGAAATATGTCATCGGCGTATTCCAAGTCAACAAGTAAGTCTCACGGTCAGTGTATGACATGGTGTCGTGGTGTGAAAGAAAGCTATACAGGACTGTCCTCTGTTGGATCTTCACTACTACCTAGTTGAGGGCCTAGAGATGGTGCAACACTGGCTTTAAGCGTTACCAGATGGGACTCAGAATAGAATACAGTGACGATCTCGCTGTAACGTTCTTTTACTTTCTTCATTAAAAGTTATTATATCTTCCTTAACTGATAGAGTTCTTCTAGTTGTACGTTTCACGTTCCCCCATCATTATTCTTTTCATTACACTAACATATACTAATCTGTGGTTGTCATTGTTCTCATTTTCTCCCTTTTACTCAGCTTACCTTCTTTTTGTCTCCCCATTCTCATTGTTTTGTATGCATCATATATATTTAGCGCCCTTTCGTAGCGGTATCTGTGTTCAAAAAGTAAATAAATAATAGTTGGAAAACCCTGGTTCCAAACCAAAGGTACACATGGGCTCCAGTATCCTGAAAGAACAAATGGCGTATGAACTAATTGTTGGTCACCGGTTACCATGAGACTGTATCTCCTTACGATGATCCACTGCCTTATGGATTAGACCTTTAGGTCAAAGTCTTGGGGTGTGGCCCTCTAAGTAAACCACCTCGTCTGAGCACCTAGGTAGTATCACAGCCCACACGCAGAACGAATGAAGAAGTGTGTCGCATATCTATTTGATGCCTCCTTGAACCAATGTTTATGTGTTTAACGAAATAAGTAAATGATAAATAGAATGTTAAGTACAATAAACGTTATAAGTATATGTAAATATATCAGAATATTGGACAACTTGCGTTTAAACTAAAGTTTTAAACTATCTGGGATACAACTGCTTAGTGAATGTTAATAAATAGTATAAAACAATATACAAAAGAGTGGAAGATTAGCGAGTAAGAACATTCTTCAAAAGTTCTCACCCGACGATCTACACCCATATTGTTTCTCGTGTATTAGCTATCATTAGAATAAATTAACGTATTTATTTATTTGAACACATACATATTCGTACACAAGTCACTTGATATATGTGTGGGCTAGGATACTGCCCAAACCGAGGTAGATGGTTTTCTTACATTATGATTACGTCTCCAACATCAGTTAATTAGAATAAGTATTAATAAACTGGACTGATTTCCATAGACTATACTTTCCAACGTAAATATTATTTCTTTTTTTGAATTATTTTAGACCAAATATGTTCTTGAACAACCATTCCCTAAATTTGTATACTCCACTGAACTACCGGGATGAATTGTTGAACAATATGAAACAGGCAGCAGTACTGCCACCACTAAAAAATGAAAATGTTTTATCCTTATTTATACGTCGTTGATTTGGTGCTGAGCAGTTCGAGACTGATTAAAGATAATATAAATGACTGTATGTGTATATATTTAATTCCTAATTCCTTACTAAGAAATAATAATAATACTTATTTATAGATATTTATTTATTTAAGCACATAAACATTAGTACAATAAGGCACAAGATAGATATGCGCTACATAAATCATTCAATTTGCATGTGAGCTGGGATACTACGTGGGTGCTCAGACCGAACAAAGTGGTTTTCTTAGGAGGTCACAGCCGGAGTCTTTGACCTAAAGGTCTAATCCATAAAGCAGTAGAGCAACGTTAGGAGATTCCGTCTTGTGTAGCAGGTGACCAACAATTGGTTCATAAGCCATTCTTTATCTGAACATCATGGAGTCCCTGTGCACTATTTCATTTGAAATCAGGGTTTTCCAACTCTCCTAGGTGGACTCTCCGTGTCCAATCACCCGAATAAAGCGCCGGACATTCGCCTTTCGTTTTCTCGATATCTTAAATAACAGTAGTGCTGCTAGAACTTGTTGAGTAGGACGTCCGAGGTGGTGGTTGTATGCATGTGTCTATTCGAGAGGATTTCGAGCGCGAGAGCTGACTCCCCCACTCTCAATCTTACCAGAGGCATTGATATAGATATTAGTGCCTGTTTGGTCGATTTGTCGAGACCATAATTTATGGACGGGTCAATCAAAAACGTTTGAAGGACCTCGAAGTGACGGCGCTCATTTCAGTATCTGATGCTCATGTACAATCGGTTCACAGAGGATTTTAGAGAAGACTTGACAATTAAACGGCTACAATAAATAGCATTACTAAGAAGTCCCTTTCTTTGCAAGCGCGCGAGCGCTTAACCTCTAGACTACTGAGTCGGCCGGCACTCAATAGTGTTAATGTCTAACTTCATTCAATCCACGAAATCGCACTACCGTCCACCTTGGCCTTTAGTGAGTTGTTATCTCACAACAGACCCGGTTGAACTCCACTGGTCACATCTCCAGGATAAACCTCTTGGAAACCGTCAATAATGAGTATATGAAGATTATAATCCTAGAAAGGTTTTGTGGATACTATGATAATATAATAGTTAAATTCATGTGTCAATGGCCATCCAGTGCTTCCAGGTTTTCCATGGGGATCTAAGTTGACTTATGAATTCAACTATTAAAAATTAATTAAGTGTCCACTAAACCCCTCTCTGATTATAAAAACATTTTTATTAATACAAAATATAAGTAAAATAATTGAAGATCTCAACTGTTGAGGTATCCTATGATGATTAACATATCTATATGTATAGTAAGGAAAAAAACGTTTCTTGTAATAAATACGTAAAGACTATTTACAACATAATATAGTGTAAATGATAGTCGTACGAACGTCAATATAGTCCTACTGTACGAGCTGAAACTTGGAGAACTACTACAACCATCATCATGAAGGTACAATTATTTATAAGCAATTGTCTACTCATGATACTCAACACTCACTGGCCGGATACTATCAGCAACGGCCTTCTATGGGGGAGGACAAACCAGCTGAAAGGAAAATTAGGAGGCCACTTTGGAATTTGATAGAATATTCATTACGGATATCACCAAACTGCATCATGAGGCAATCCGTGACTTGGAATGTTGACGAGAAGCTGAAAAGCGGAAGGCCAAAGAACACATGAGGGTGGAAAATAGGATCGGATATGAAAAGGATGAATAACAAATGGATAGGATTGACTAGGACAGGGTTTGATGGGAGATGCTGCTGAGCGGCCTCTGCTCCACCACGAGGAGTAACAGACGTAAGTAACATTAAACATGTATTACATCATATATATTCAGATATTAGTAGAAATGAAACTAGTTAACAAATAGAGTAACTCAATAATACAATAAATTGAGTCAGTCAGCTGCGAAGTAGAACAAGGCACACATGTGCACCGGTCCAAGTTGACATACCTCACTAGTACAACAAGATGAACACCGAATTCAAAGTAGTTAATTCTATGGTGTTAATATTAATATATAAAGGAAATATTGTATGTAAGTATATGTAATCTGGGAAGAAGGACAGATATGAATCACTTCAAGAGAGTTTATACACCTACACCATTGGAATCGATTCTGAGCGATGTCACATAGAGTGTCGAATCGCTACTAGTTATAATAGTCAGGTGGACCCCAACCAAGTAGTCTGCATCTACCAACATCGCTCAGACTAGAAGTTGGTGACTTCAAACACTTATGCCATGTCTTGGTTTGGCCGCCCCTAACTATCTTCCAACCAACCCCAACACTAGTCATCATAACGCGTCGTGGTATACGGTTTTCAGGCATACGTAACACGTGGCCCAACCATCTCAGTCGATGAAGATTCATTATCTCATCAACTGATTTACCATCATTCTCTAATACCCTTGTGTCTAATCTCACTACTACTTACCATGTGATCCCAGCAGATGCGAGCAATATTTCTAAGGCACTTGTGATCAAATACTAGAGTATCTTCTACTCTTAATGGCCACGTTTCCCAGCCGTGAAGTAGAACAGAGCAAACGTCTTTGGAGTATACTCGTCCTTTAATTGATAGACAGATATCTTGCCTTCTCTGTAGGTGACATTATCTGGCAAAAGCCAAGCATGTCTACAACCTGAGGAATAGTGAATATGTGGTCAATGCAGCCACGACCAGGTCTGATCCAACCTGGTTTTCTCGTGTTTACAGTTCACGAGTCTTAGTTTGACGCCCGATAATTATTGAGACAAGTATTTTCGATGCTATATCAGTCAGACTAGTCCCTCTATAGTTATCACAGGATGAGCACCATATTTAAAGACCTCTGGAGCCAATTCATCTGGACCGGATGCTCTTCCTCGTTTCAGATAAGTTATTGCCTTTTGAACTTCAGCTAGGGTGGGAGGGCCTACTTCAATGTTCCATTCGGGTTTTCTGGGATCAGTGGGTAGTTGTACAGAAGCTAGGGGCCGGCTGAACTGCTCCTTGAAGTGTTCGGCCCATTGTTTTGGACAGTCCTTAATTTTAATTACATTGTTTAATCTTTTATAAAGTAAACAATACTCACATCACGTTCCATCATCATTTTGTGATCATATATAAGCAGAAGAATAAATGCTGTAGTTTCAGTGAATATTGTTCATTTAGTTTTGTTTCACGTAGCTGCACTGCTTTTGCTTCTTCATACGTCCAGACAGACGGGTAAGTAATCAGTATTACTTAAAATGATCTATTACAATTACATCCTGAAATATTCACATCTGATCCGGTGTACAAACAGAATCATAACACCGTCGCTTCCGTCTTCACTACCATCATTGTTAATATTAAATCTGAATAAATTTGTCTGCTAATCATGTGGATTGTTGTACTTTGTTTACTGTTTGGGCGTGTTTCAGTGATTTATAAATTTGTAGTTCACGCCATTTTTTGAAATAATGCTGACATAGGTTCTAGATATATGTATTCTGTTTTTAATTAATTGTGAGGACGTAACTACTTGACAATGATTGATATTTGTTCTGCTGAAAACTATTCGTGGTTATTCAACCATTGATTTTCGTCTTTCAAGTATCAATTCTGGTGTGCTATAAGCGTAATAACTATTCTCAGAAAGAGGGTTTCGTGAAGATTTTAGCAATTTTATAGTTGATTTGATCAGTTAATTCCAGCTATACCACCATGGAAAACGTGAAAGCACTGGACAGCCGTTTCGTCCTAGTACGGGACTCCTAGGCGTCGCGTATCCACAACTGCCTTAGGTCGGTCTCGCTCGCTAACGTTTATTTTCTAGACTGGCATTTAATAATGTCAATGTCTTCAAGTAATCGATGAAATCGCGACATCGCCGAGGAGTTTCATACTAGGAGGAAGCGGCCAGTCAGTGTAACTAGGTTTACCGCGGTAGTCTAGCTTTAATTGACTCATGATTTCATCTATGAAAATAGTAATAATGTTCTTTAACCGAAACACAATTACCAACTTTCGGTCAGTGAACATTTTGTTATTTGCTTCTTGATATTACGAACCAATCAAAACAAATTCCATTTGATTTCTTAGTGGAATTTGTATGACACCATTGAAATTGCCGATCGAACCATCTGAAATATAATTACAATAAATCAGTAGGTGTAAAGTTCTTCCGTAGAACTATAAATGGTTGCAGCCAAATAATAATAAACCACCCGTTTCGATGATGATCCATGAGAAGCATGTGTGAAATCACCTGAATCAGTGAACTTGAATATGAACATCAGTTTTCAAAATTAGCTGAAGTACTTATCGTTGTGGCGAATCTTGTTTTACATTTATATGTTGAATCAAACCATCTTGAGGATTTAAAACAGACGATTTATCATCCGTCCGTTAAGTAATTGAAAGCAATTAATTCTCGAGAGGAAGGTAAGTAACTGTTGTTTTCAGTTTTACAGGGTATGTATCATACAATCAAACGTGTTCATAAGACACATGTTGTCACCTACTATATAATGAAGAATAATTCGGTCCATTCGTATGTGTTGATGTACGTATAGATGTATAGTAGTGTGTTTGAAATAACATCAGCTTATTAATTATTTGCTGAGACTTGTATGATGTTCTGTAATGTAATGACTATAATATGTTCACCGAAATGAAATTTTTTCAATGTTACTGATAAATAATTTCAAATGTAAATAATTTGAAAGTTCAGTAACAAACTAGATGAAATAACGCATTGTCGCGTATCTTTGTTGGTAATTTTCAGAATGAATGACAAATCTCGTGAGGTATATCAGAGACTGCAACGGAGAAATAAAATCCTTGAGAGGTAATTTGATTATTCAATTTTCAATATTATAATCTTTTGCACTACTGGATTCAGAGCTTGTATAGGATATCTATCGGCTACTGTTTGTTTGTTGAGTGCTTGATGGTCTTCACACGGCCTTAATTTTTCCATTTTTCTGCAAGGCCATGTGTAACAGTGAAATCGCGGTCTACTCGAAGGCCTTATGATTCCTAGTTTCATTAGTTTGTCTGATACTTGTTTCTCAATTTTTAGGAGTCTAAACTATGCGGTCTTGCGTCGGTCGGTGGACTTTTCGTTACGACGTGATGCTGCACAATATGTCTATGATCTCAGATGTCGTATGATACCCTCTTCAAATTGGCGTACCCACTTAGAAGCGACTTATATAGCTTGCTTTTGTCTTTTGGCACCACTAAATTCATAAATACGTGGTTGGTATTCGCTCCTTTTATCACTACTGAATGATTTCTGTTCACGAGCCGGATACGTCTGCGATAACGAATCCTCAGGAAAACGAATTGTTACGACTGAAATTCAAGGTTATTTTTTGCTTCTCATATGTTTTGATGTAGGATTTATTTACTGCCCCAAGTGTTGGTACAGTATCAATATTTCGTCTTTCGATGCTAAATGGAGGCACATAGCTTATTTCTGTTCCCGGTCACACCAAAAATTGATAGCATATTACTGTGTCCCGGACATAAAGTAAACGATTGTTTCTAGGAGTTGTGCTAGTTGTCGCAGCCGTTACTGACAAGCGGTGGGATCGTTTAAATTCGCGTGGTGATCTACATCTTTTAGCTCTGTCGGACGTTTGATGATACCAGCATTTTGCGGATGCTGAACATCTCATAGAGCGTGATTGGCTTCTATCACTTGATCTACTTCGTCATGATTTATGTACAGCAGTTTATGGCATAAAACATTATTCTCCCATTGTAACTCATCCATTCTACTATGGTGTTATGTTTGGGCATCACTGAGGAGGGCTATTGTGTCTTTATTCGAAGACATATTTATAAAATTAAATAGTACACAAATTTTATGTAAACGTCACAAAGAGAAGTGAACCGACAAAAACAGTGATAATAACAAATGGTACAATCGATAGCAGAGAACGGACTTGCTAAATTGCACCAATGTATCAATTGTTTCTGAATAATCGTTATTTATTATGAGTATTGTCGTCACGTTCAATAATGTTTGCGAGATAATTAAAATGGTGATTTAATAAATTCGCAACTATAATTATGATCCAGATAGGAATGGAAATGGAGACAAAGTGCGTTGAATTTTCGAAATTATATTGTCATGAAAAATTGCTTTTTGTTCGCACGTTGAGATCGGCGATTATGTTGTAATCGGTATTCGATATTATCCTTAGACTTCGTATATTATTCGTCCTGATAACCGTTACTAGCTAACGCCTGTGACGGTGTTAAAATCAGAAAACCAATAGGAATTGTCGATAACGTTTATTATTGCACCGCGCATAGATTACCGATACCACAGGTACCCGAGGCAAGAATGAAAGACATGTGCCGAGTGATCGTGCGAGTTGAATGAATAGGATTAAAATGTACATATATATACATGGGGAAATGAAGGATTCATCGAAACAATTAGACATTTAACACTAGAGCTAGCAGAATGAATTGTGCTTTTGGCTGTAAACAATTCTCAAGCATGCATATTCAAGTCGATAAAATGTACGAGGATAACTGACATTTGTATTTCGATGACAATCAAAATATAGTCCAATTAGTGTCAGATCTAGGGTCATTAAAGTGGTGAGCCCCACACCGAATAAGACGCATCCTGCAAATTTGCGCAGACGGTAAACATCTCTAACCCTACTTGTCCAGTAAACGAACTAAGTAGCCGACTCAGTCGACGAGCAACTCAAATGAATAAATCTCTAGCGCAACGCATTCATCGAGATCAGTTAAGCACTGACATGGTAATGTTTCAAATCGTACCTTACCTATACTTTGTGCTCGTGTCAACTCTGCTCATTAACCCATCTTGTATATTGTTCTATTATTATTTAAATAATTGTCATAGTCTAATTATCAAATTGTTGACACATTATCACCTAACATGAATCTATTATTTTTGTTCATGCTGATATTAAATTATGGCATTTTCGCAATCATATCACTCATCGAACAAATTATAATTTTACACCGATTCCACGTTATGTCATTCAGTGTACTATGTTTATTATTCAATAACGTAAAATATCCCTGTTTTAAGTCAGTTCGTTCCATTTTTTTCACCTCATTTCAGCTGATTACTAAACTCATTCACTTGTCCGAGATTGTTTTTTATGTTATCAAACCATACATTTCACATTTCTCTAATGCCTTCTATTATGTTTGTGATTCCCTTTCACTCTACTGGCTGATTATTAACGGTTGCGTTTATTCGTTAGCCGACATGTGTATTTCGTTGACAGCCAGCATACAATTCAGTCGGAACATATAAAGGGGCACCAAAAGGATGAATCGTCGAGTGATATTTAGACAATAAACATTCTAGCTGGCGTCTGTGTTCCAGTGATCACAGCAGTATGAAGAAATATGCGAAATGTTACACATCAAATAACATTGTCTGTTAAGTAAGTTAATAAACGAGCCTAATTAAAATTAACCATGATGGAACTTAATTGAAAGATAGTTTTTAGAATGTAAACACAGAATCACTGTTGAACCCTATAAAATAACTTAATTTATATCAACGTGTGTGGACAACTGTTTGAATGAGTTTGACTTCAAAATCGTCAAACCGTTAGACAGAGACAATACAAACAAATCAGAGTATAGTTTGAAATATGATGCTGAGTTTATTGAGCTATCGTCAGACATATCTAACTGGATTGAGTTCACGAATTAGTGATTGAAGTGCCAAAAGAGAGGAGAGATGATGAAGGGAAGATGGAAAACAAAATCAGTGCACGGCTAGAAACATTAGACTTATACATAACATACAAACGGTCAGATTACATGACATTCAATTAGACCTTAAGTCATTTGTGCAAAAGTGTAGCTAACACACCACATTTTCAAACATATGTTACTGAAAGTGTTGTCTAGACAGACAATGAGATATTCACAATAAAATTGTCAAGCTCAACTGAAGCAACACTCCTAATGTCCTCGTCTCTCTCATTTCAAATATCACACCACTCGTAATTGTTGATGCGTTGTGATCGTGTTGTTCATCTGTTTTCTTATTTATCTTTTTACATCAATCTGAATCAGGGATAAATGGAGATGTGTTCCAATGGACTCCTCGTCTCTCTATTTTGCTTATCGATTGATCACGTGCCGGGAAAGTTTTCTTCTCTCTGCCTAAGGACATTAGTCCCTTTTCAGAATCACGTGTGTCCCAGCTCAACGTTGGGCCAGTTTGACTATTATATCAGGACTTCAACGTAGGGCGAGACAGGTTCTCTCCTGTTGACAACCGGACTTAGAGATCTGGGATGAAACATTTACTCATCACTACTTAGACGTTTTTCATTAGAAAGCTTGTATTTCGTGTCCACACACATTTATCAACTCTGGATGTCATGGTTTTGTCTTAATGCAACAGATAATCACGTATTCTCATAGTGACGTTTCACTCTTCTAAGTACTTCAAACTCTAACTGATTTCGAAAACACTGAATATTTCTACACATAACGTATGCATTTTACATCGATAGTCTGGATTATTGTTTACAAATTGTTCTTCTAGTATTAAGTGTGTTTTGGATATGTTGGAATATATGAGAAATTATCTGTGTTCATTGTTAAAGGATCCATGATCACAATTTCTTCAATCAGTCAGTGCTTAGCAAATAGTCAGTAAACGTATTGATTCGGAATTTCAGTAAAACGTAAACAGTCTGTAAAATTAGAGACTGACCAGTTGTAGTCCTAAAACATCAATGGGAAGATTCAAACAAACAATACTAAGTGAGTTTGTGAAATTGTTTGGAATGTTGAATGAGATGAGTAGATTGCAGTTAACATCAGGGATTAGAGAACTCAGTTACCATTTTGATAAACGACTGTCGTCCAGCAGTTATGTTCGCTATATCCCACATACTATTCTGATTTCCATGAACCACCAGACCAATTCTTAATGTGAGTGAACAATATTAAAAATCAAACACCAATTTACAGGCATTTAATTTCACACATTACAATCTTTTACCGCATCAATGTTTTGAACAATAACAAATAAGAGTTAGTTAATATTAACGGTGAATATTGTTAATGAAAGAAGAAATTTGTGATTGATTATTTTAACAGCAAATTAATTATTGCAACAATATGGGTAAATGAGAAATGAGTTAAGTCCAGGACATCACTCCCAAATTCAAGTTCATTCAGTTTCCATCGTCACCTGGAATTCAAACAGAAACATAAGAATGATGTGTAATATGATAAATCATACAAGTGTACATTTGAAATGAGCAACTGGACAAAAGTTAAACTGTATAATGGAACTTGGCCTGTGTGTATGTATTCATATGATTAAGCATTATGTAGATCCGACTGCAGCAATGGAATCGTAAACATCCATTCAAATCTACACTTCACTAAACTGCATCTCAATCATCCATTTGAATAGGTATTTCAGTTCAACAGCGTTTTTGCATTGAATCTAATGATTCTACCTATAGGCGTTTCTCTACTCTATTTTGCTCACTTCCATTATCCAAGCACTCAATATTTCGTACAACACTTCACCATTAAATACTGTTCCATGTAATATTGTCAGTAAATTTGATTCAGTAGGTTACTTACTTATCGCTTCGGGTATTTGTGATAGAAATAAACAATTAACTGAAATTTCAGAAAAAATAATAAATCACCAAATGACTGAGTATTCAATTACTTCAACATCTATTTCATCATTGATGAGAAGACTAAGAAAATAAATTGGCGGTTCTTATCCGTTTATGTCACACATATTGTTTGTTCTGTCGAATAAATAAAACGTAACCTCACCAACTTAACCTTGATATTTGAATGGAGAACTATCACAAATATGATGTGTGTTGTGCGAGAACATTCGAATTCAGATTGGTATCAGTGGACTGTTTAATTTTAATTGTAGCATCCGTGTGATTGTGATTTTGATATCATTGTATTTCATATATATCTGTCTATTAATTTGTCTCACAACTGAAATACAAAACGAATTCGGTTAGGAAATCATCCACGAATATTGTTTATTTGAAGAAATCATTCAACGTTGTTTGAGCATCAAAGTAATGAAAGCCCTCATATATGCGGACAAGATGGATTGTGGAAGAATATCGGAGACTCACATTGTCCTCTTTACCATTTCCACATATTCTCACTCAATTGTCAAAGTCATTGTGGATATTTAGTCCATGCTTTCACCTTTTATTCATTTGACTAGATTTATTCTGTAGCATGAAATACTTCATTCATGAGTATTACACCCGTTATTATTCGTTTCATATTGCAAAGCTAGTCACAAACAAGACGTGGACAGTTCTGTGATTTTATGATTGAGGAAACAAGATTTCAGTGTACTGAAGAAAACAGTTAGATATTCTAGAAAACACATTTAAAAATAAGTGGAACGTAGTGGTTAGTATGAATTTCAGTAAGGAACGTCAGGTTATATCTTTCATATCCAACGATATCAAGAAAGAGATAATTTAAATAACCTTATTTAATAATAATAATTTATTCTCAAATAAAAGATTGTTACATGAGGCATGCCGGTTTGCAGGCAAGATCAAATTGTTAAAGAAGTTACAATTTTTACTGTTGAAAATTACTCTGCTGGGTTGATATTTCATAAGATATGAATGTAAATGGATTTCGTAAGGAACATGTCAATGTCACACTTGGCGCACTTTATGGAGGTAGCGTTGCAACATACAGCTAATGTTCGAGAATAGACACATGCGAAGTTGGAGGCTTTTAGAAGTTTCGAACTTATATCCCTCTAGAATATCGGAAGCTTTAATAACGGTGTCCCATGTCGTCTTAGTATCCACTGATGTCCATTTCGACCTTGTCATTTAAATCTCTTTTCAGCATGGTCATATCCTTTGTTGGGCAGATCTCGACGATCGACTACAGCCTATCGTAGAATTGATCTTTAACGTCTTCGCTGTAGACGTTGGTTGGCGCTTGGCATCGGACGATGTTCAGTGTAATGCCCTTTCTCTTTGTTTTCAAGGAGGATTTGACGATCCTTTATCTATGAGATTCCCATCCTATGAGTGCATTTTGTGCTTGTTTGAACAGCATCAATGCAACTCCTTGTGTATGTGATGCATCTTCTTCCTCATGTCCGGGGTATAAAAAATGCTCTCCTGAAGCTTGTTTTTGTTGTCCAACCGGCGTCCAATATGTTTCACTGATCCCGAATACCCTCAGGTTGAATGTCCTCATTTCTGCTGCAGTTTAGAAAACTCTCCCGAATTTTTCGCACGTTCCATGTACCTATAAAATTTGTTGTTCTGGTTGATAGAAGGGGCGTCGGCCTCATGACTTCGGAATGAACTCAACTCTCATCATAAGGCGTCATTATTCTTCGTTCAACTCCCAGGGCAGAGTATAAATGGTCTGAATAATTTTTTCTGATTAGTGTGTTTTTGGCGAGTTAGTTTCCACGGGATGGGGTAGTTAACTCTATACCCAACCCTCGTATATCCGGGAGCGTGTTCGGCAGTAGCCCACGGCGGAGCTAAGTGCATAGTTTGTATCTTGATGGATGGACTTGGAATCTGAACTTTGGCTAATCATTGGTATAGACCTGCAGCAACATTATACTTTACAAGTAAACTTGTGATGTTTGCTAAATGCATTTGAAATCACACAAAGATTGTGATTATCTTGGAATTACATATCAGTTTTAAAGTTTTATAAACCTTTTGAATATTTAAACAATGAATTATGGAGCATCGAACATAACTAATAGAATGAAAAGCTTAGACTGATCAGATTAATTATGATATTTATAGAGTAAGCAGAATCAAATAATAAAAACCGGTTGTTGATTTTTTAAAAGGTATGATCTTTGTTCTAATTCTGTGAACAACCTAATTATATTGTCGAAAAAATTATTTTTCCTGTTTCGTAACACAGTACAGGGCCTTAGATACCATTCCTAATGATTTGTATTAAAACCAATTATGCGGTGGTTTAAATGGAATGAATAACTAAAAGAACTGCTGAACAATCAAATCCGAGTGAATTGATACATTTTAATCATCACTAAAAGATAAAAATCCTCAACATCATTCATTATTCCGTAATGGATTTTGTCTCTGAATATGTGGACATGTGATATAAAGTGTTTATATCAACCACTTATGAAGTCTGAGAAATCATTGAACTAATCAATGTTCTCATACCACTTAAGTGAATAATAAATTAAAAATGAATGAGATGCACAATCAAACAGTCGAAGACATAGTGTTGTGTATGTGATTCAACTTTTCCGGAAATTTATGCTCTCCTGAAGAAGCCATTGAGTTTGTAAATTGTATCACCCAAATGGATGGTTGTAAAATGTCTATGGAATGTTTACTTTGTAATTGTCAAATATACAATTGAATTAGCTCATGTATTATGTTTGCATGAAACTTCAAGTTGTGAATAAACTTGGGAATTCAAGTTCATTACGACGAATACACGTAAACATTCATCTTCAGTTCCTCAGTGATTGGAATTCTTGTTTACATTGAATTTGTTGTTGTATTTAACATAGTAACTGAATGTTTGTGTATGTTTGGAGGAGTGGTAGTGATGATGGTGTTCGATAATTCAGTCCTCAATTAGTTCACAGTGATAAACAGAAAGTAAACTAAGCTAACGTGTATAATGTTTACATGTATATGTTTTGTTTGAATTGGTTAATCATATGATACATGATGTTAAATAACCGAGGTCAACATAATGGGCAAAACTGAATGTTGGAATCCAATCATCACACACAAACTCTTATTTAACCAATAATTTTGAGTGATAACAAGAAAACGTATATGAATAGGTTAAAATGTATATGAATTTGAATGTCTTCACAGGTATTCTATGTATGATAAAATAGCTTGTATTTTGGATATGGGTTGTGAGTACACACCTCTCAAGTAATGAAATCCCAATCAATCAGTTTTCCATGACATCGTATGATCGTCTAAAATGGGATCAATTTGTCATGAATTACCCTTATACATATTGATAAATGTTATTTCTCATATGATACAATGAATGTAGATGGATATCACGAAAATGAGGTGGATTTGAAGAAAGAGACGTACTCTTACCAACCAACCATATTCAAATAATCATCACTCTATTCAGTCTTAAAAATAGCTAATAATAGAAATAGGTAATCCCAATGAATATTGTGATATTATTACAACAATTACATGTTTTATGTTGATTTTATATGTAAATAATGGAAATTACAAACTAATGAGTAGGTGATACCTTCTTTGATTCATTAAAGTATTTTCGAGTGTTTTAGGTTCGATGACACCACTTCGTATTTAATAGTTCCTTCGATGCACAAATTGCATTGTGATACCCTCTACTTCTTCTTCATGAAAATATACTAAATACTATTGTGAAAATTTGGGTTATAATTGTAGATAAAGTTAACATACATCGAGAAACATTCAGGTCATACAACCAAAGTATAATCACTACAAGCACTTAGTCATCATGTTGTAGCACAGTTCAAACCTCACGTATTGCAACATTATCATTTAGTCTTCAAACAGCTCAGTATATTACAAATTCCTGGAAACTCATTTCTTGAAAAAAACATTTGTGACGTAGCCAAATTGAACGATTTTCTATAATTAGTCGGACATATGACCTTGTGACAAAGGGCTATCACAGAGTGAAGTTAGGAATATATACAAAATTGTTTCAACCCAATTGTTTTTGTGTTGATAGCACCGTGACAAAACCCCAACACTATTGGTTAGATTTTTAATGGAATTTTAATTGCTCAGTTTTGAGGAGTTTTGCTTCAAGACCAAACATCCTTGTAATTGCCTCTTTGTTTATTTATGTAATTAACATGGCCTGATTGTTCATAATTTAACATTATTCATCAAGAAACAAACACCAAATTATCGGTTCATATACAGTCCTTTTGCTTTTCTTAATCATTCTCTCCCTAATTTCTTGAATAGTTTAATCGACTTCTTTTAAATGTTTAAATAAAATGTAAATGAAGTAGTTTGAGAAGAAAAAACTTTTATAATCAATCATAAGATGTTGTGTTCGACTAAAGTAAATTACCATCTTCATAATCTTCTTTATCATCGAATTGTTGTACAATCACTTTTTATTGTTTAAAACATGAATTCAACTGGCAAACGAATTGAATTGGTTGTGGTTAGACATTAACACCATAGGTTCTCAACTCAGTGGTATAGAGTTGAAGCGTTCGTGTTTGAAACAGCAATTTCTGGGTAGGAATCCTTCGAGCAGGATCATAAATGCGCACTTCTGAAGACTGTCTTAAATGAATAGTTTGTTGTCTGTCAATCAATCGAGTTTACACTTTTTGATTTTTTAGCTCTTTTTTATTATCTATAATATTAGTCATTGGTCAACCATTTCAATCTACCTTATGAAGTTGATACTAGAGTTTCCTATTTAGACAACTGTAATCGGAGAGTTACCTGTTTCTTGCAGACTCTCTGGTTGGCGTTTTTTCGGCTAGATAAATTTGTATAGGATGGGGTTGCTGACTCCATGCTCAACACTTCTCTCTAACTTTGGCTTGAAATCAAAAGTAATTCTAGATGAGCCACAGGTGAAGGTAGTTAGTTCAAACGAAATATCCAGTTTTACGATTAATTTGCATTGGTTTATGGATTTTTGTGTTGTAACTTTAAATTGAAATCCATACTGGTTGCTCAAGTGGGCAGATGCATGAACTCAGTAGTTATGTAGAACACAAGTTGTGTACTTTAAACAAAAGTTACTCGGTTTCAATTCTATAGTGAATATCTATTCTGAGGTCCAGGTGAATCTAGCTAATGACGACCAGAAATGAGTAGTCGGAATGTTTTCTGGATTCCACTTCTATCCAAATTCTATCTATCGTAGAAATATATTAAGTTGTCTATTGAGGAAATTCACATGTCAATCGAAACTGCATAAAATACACATAGTAAACGTTAATAACTGAGAATCACCCATAAAAGTGATTACAATTAATAGTTCATCAAACTACTACTGACATTCAAGATAAACAGAAACATAATAGAAGATCCACAAACCTTCTCTTATGTCCATTAGACTATTTGTACAAACCCTACAATAAATATTTGATAAAATTCTGAATTTTGTTTCACTTTATGGGTGGTATTCACCAAGTGCTATTGTGTGCAACAGATCAGATTTGAAAATGTAAACTAATGTATTCTGACCAAGTGATGTGATAGCTAAACATGTATTATAATTGCTAGATTCAAACAAACTTTTGCTGAAGAATAACTGTCTAGATTAGAAGAGCCGCGTGAATCCCAATCGAAGTCAGAACAAGATGATTTGAGGAAACAAGGTTTCTAAACAAATATCAACTAAAACAACATATAAAGAAACATGGAAACTCAGTGAAAGCGAAAGAGAAAAATGAGAAAAGTATTATGAAATGAAACATTACGATCTGAAATGGCATCAAAAAAAATAACAGAAATATACAACTAAAGAAATCATAAAGAAACGCTGCGAATATATACATGGAAGGATTTTCAAACACGAAATCTTCAAAATGGATCTTACAATAATTTCTTGATATTCTGAAATCAGTTTATAATTGGAAACCATTGACTGCTTTTAAGGAGCCTCATACAAAGAATGAACATTCTTCAAGTAATCTGTATTTTATGATAGTACTACTGTTGTAGGTGAACAGTGAACTAAATTATCTGGAAACTATTGATCTTGATTATAATTTACAAAAATAATGTGGACTGCAAACGTTACACCTGTTGAACACTGTAAACAATCGGATGCGACTGGCAGTGAATTTCATAAATTTGGTCAGTAATTGTTACTTTTCCACGGTTACAGATTTCAATCACCATGCTTTGATTGTCATCTTGAACAACAGCATTCATTTCCATCTCCAATTGGTTAAAAAAACGATGAGAATTTTCACAAAATTTATCATCAGCTGAAACATGGTATCTGTATTTGGAAACATTTTGCGTTTTATTGTGGTTGTGAATATGAATATCATTGAAAGACAATTCCACAATGATTTAGTAAGACAATCGTCATTAGTTTGATCACAAACGTTTCTTAACAACAGTTTATTGATAAGTATGAATATACATTGAGAGATTTACTCATAATACATCGCAAATGTAATATGTATAGTGTAATTCTAGCAACTCATAATCTCGATATTATTTGATAAACACTGAAATAATCAACAAATTCTACTTCTTTATTTTACCTCATTCTTATAGTTAACTGATATTAGTCACATTGAAATGTTACAATTTATATAACAGACTGACTTGAATGAAATAAACATCGGAAAGCACCTTTTAGAATCTAGTCCATTGGAATTGTACTAACGCAACTCACTTCCATCAGAAATTAAACCCACAAAGTTGAATCCTTTCAGCGATCACATATTATTCAGAGCATGTGGTTAGTGTTCAAAGCTTTGTGTTTTTGATTCTGTTAATTTACAGTATTGAGCGACTAACATCCACTGCCACAAACAACACTGTTTCTTACCAGAAATGGTTGAACTCCATTGATTATGGCTTTTCATTAGATTTCGGAGATTATGACATATTCACTGTAGTTTTATCAACACTTGTTGCTAAGCCGGTTTGGAAAGAAAGAAAGTTTTCATATCCTTTAAAGCTTCTCCGTCAAGTGTGATTCGATTGGTGAATGCTGTAACTGAAACCTGCAACTTTCATGAACTCCTGCAGCGATGGTTAACCTGATGAAGATACTGATTTAAACAATTAACTGATATGAATTGAAAGAAGATCGCTTATTTAGGATGATTGATAATACATGCCTTACAGATTACAGATCTTTATAGTCTAAATTATTAATGGGCATTTACGCACATCTGGTAATATAATGATATACTTAAAATTTTCAATAAAATAACACGACTACCGTCCTTCAAACACTATATGTAACAAAACTCAATTAGTGATTGAGTTAAGATGATTTTCATCTATTCTATAAATGACAACATTGTTTAGGAATCACTGTTCGGTTGAAAACAAACATTCTGCGGAAGCCAGTGTTTCTTGATTCTAACTTGCTTGCCTCCATAATATAACTCTACGGGAATTCCAACATATCAAGCAATTGTGTATTCCTAATGACAAGTGACTTTTAAATTGAAATGAATTTTTACTTTTTTGTACAATATTTACGATTAAATAGTCGTACAGCTTAACGGTCATTCGTTAATTTCAAAATCGCTCTCATCATTAAAGTGCTCCAGACAACAGTTGCTCCTCAATTCTCAATATGTGAAACTTTCTAAATGACCGAATCCAGACAATCCAGTATTGTAGTAACTAGAACACATTTAGCTTGTTTGGTAGCATTCGGCGGTTTACACCCCCGAATTGTAACATTGCTATGATCATCGGCCTCGATTGGTCATTAGCCTAGCCATGAATGTGAATTGTCCTAGTGTCTCAAATTAGGATAGATTAACTGTCTGATGCCCTCTGGCATTTATTGGTGCACAAAATTAAACTAATGTCAATAAACAGTCAACTAATGAGTGATAAACAATGATATATATGTTTTGTCAGTTATATAATCAACACACAACTCGACGTCAATCAATGTCTGTCTAATTCACCGTGAAACACAAATACCAGGAAATGAATTAAACAAGTTGAACAGATGAAGTCTCAATCAATAGTTGTTACAGTGATAGTGAGAAAGAGTAAAGATTGAAGAGCACGGTAATTAAGAAGGAACTGAATTCAAGTAACATGAAGTACGATATATTATTGAAGTTAAAACTTCAGGTGGAAAGCATAGAAACATGCAACTGCTTCAACCTGTAACAAGTAAAGATTATGACCAGTAATATTGAAGTCATTGACCAAACTCAAATCAAGTAGCCTGCACGTACAAGCACAGTTCAATCCACCGTTTAGTGACTTCATGAACTGAGCAACTCGTACTCCAGTAAACATTATTCCTCGATTCAGAAGGTCATTGAACATGTGTAGTACATGTCTCAATCATCTCAAATGATAAATGTTCGTAGCCTTACCAAATGACAAATCACATTTGTCCAGTACAATGAAGTAGATATGTTGAAAACAAACAATAGCCATTGACAGAAAGGCTGTAAATAAGCATTAGTCTGGTTAAGAATATTGAGATATACATACAATATACTATGTTGTTTATATGTAATTAAAATGAAACGCTCACTGCAAAATAATTAGGATGTCGTCCAGGATGCCGTCCACTGTAACTGATCAGTTGCTAGGGACAGTGTCAACGTGAAGTTTCAACAGGTAAGTGTTGTTATTTAGAGAATTCACTTAAAAGAATGACTGGCTATTAAAAAGTCCATGATCTCACACGTGGGCTAAGATACACTTACATGTACTAGAATATATAACTCATTTTCGAAGAACCAGCTTGCATCAATGCAGTGAACAAACAATGAGGGTGATGTTATCGTACGGATAGATTGTGATAACTTTTTCCAGAGCAATCGACAATGAAGAGTTCAATTTAAATATTTGATGTCGGTTGCTGAGAAAGTAATCAAATCGAACAATCAATGGATTTTGGACCCCATATGATGTGAGTTCACATATGATAAGTTAGTGGTTGACCATGTCGAAGGCTTCGGAAATATCCAGGTATAGCAGCAATACTAGATGTCATTGGCAAGGAGGACCATAGACTGAAATAATGACGTCAAAGCGACATGGCATAGAAGATCGACCTTTGAGAAATCCATGTTGCGTATCATCGGTAAATTTTTCAGTTTATAAGTAATCAGATAGTTCATCGCCAATAATTTTTTTTCATAATCCTAAAGATAACCATGTGTGACCGCTCTTCACAAATTCACAAAGGTTCTTGGAAGAAGACTGTCTACCTGTACGAAGAATGCTACAAGCAACTTCAACCCATCGTCTCTGTAAGTAAGGTGAGAGCTTTAAAAACATACACCCCATGGTCTTTGTAGAAATAAGACCGCATACATAGTCCATCTGCGTGAGTGTGAGCTCAAAAATATGCATCTCGCGAGACAGTCTCCTTAAACTATCTGGATCAATCCTCTTGATAGCAGAGATATCCAAAATCTCAATAGATGCGAGTATTATGATGTGATTTTTACCGAATGCTCCCTCTAGAAGCTCTGACGCTTAACGATAGCTTTCTTCTGTCCCAAAATTTCGTATAAAACTCCAATAGTTCATAAGATTACCATCAAACGTTATGATTTATCTCTTTAATGGGTCTTAACTTTAGATATCATAGTTATCCGGTCCTTTCTAGGAGAAATATTAACTGCATGTGTTGCAGATGTAGACTTGTGGGATATCGCCACGTCGCCAACAACTTGATTATAATGTTCTATTCCTTTTTGACGTAACCGTTCTGACTCCTTTCCTTTTTCTGTTTGGGCTTAGCGTCTTTTAGCTAATTCCTACTCTAACAAGGGATCCAATTTAGAGCTATTTCCTTCAAACTGGTCATCAATATTAGTTTTTGAAAATTGAGGAGACGATTCAGAAATCTGATCAAATTTAAGATTATCCATAGACATTCACCAGTATTCAATGTATGAAATTTTGATGAGATACTTATCGAAACTTTGTAGGATTTAATTCGTTCGAAAAATATACGATCAGAACTGCAAACGCAACACTGGCGCAGAGTCTATGTGAAAGCTATAGTCAGAACAAAGAAAACGTTACTCTAAACCTCATCTGTTTCTAAACATAAAACAATTAGAATAGTACAATAATTAAAGAAATAAAGTCAATAACTAAAACGTGCAAAAATAACGACCAGTATTGCATGTCTTATCGAAATCAAAAAACTTCATGGGTCACATTAACATAATAGGATGATAATATCATTTAATTAGTAGGTCACATGCAACAGGGACAGTTGACATACACATCAAATCAAATTGACGAGGTAGTAACTTGAGCAACGATTTGATTGGTTAGTTATGGGCATATATAACAGAAGATAAGATTGAGTTTGAGTCTCCTCTTCCATAAAAGGTGGAGTCAAAGCTTATTGCATCTATAAGTACAAGATACAACCAG